GGAGTGAGGTTTGCGAATTGGGAGTGAGCTTTTTCAATTTGGAGTGAGGTTTACGAATTTGGAGTGAGGTTTGCGAATTCGGAGTGGGGTTTACGAATTCGGAGTGAGGTTTAAGAATTGAGAGTGAAGTTTAAGTATTCGGTGTGAGGTTTAGAATTGGGAGTGTCGTTTGGAATTTGGAGTGCACTTGTGGGCCACCGCATAAAAGCATATATTTTTTAATTTGAAGTAAGAGTCAAAATATTAGGACTGACATAAATGTTTATCTGGGTTGGGGTGTGGGTTCCTGTTGCCTCTGCTCTACCTTAGTCCTCTGTTTGCATTATTGGTGGCATTGATATATTTTAAAATAGTAAAAATTCACTGTACTGGTATCAGTAGCAGACTTTTAACTGGTATGAAAGTAGAACACTTACTAGTACTAGTACCAGTTTCAATAGTTTGTTGACAGTATCTGTCCAAATTAGTCATGTTACTGGTAGTGAATCTATATTATTCTACTGACATTCTGATTCATGCTGCCTAATGATCATATATATATGCTTTTATAATATAAAAATATCTTCCAGTGCTAATGTGACCTGCCCCAGTCACCCAGATGCTATCCTGGTGGAGGACTACCATGCTGGGGACATGATCTGCCCAGAATGTGGACTGGTTGTGGGAGACAGGTAGGTTATGGTTGTGGTTGTGGGAGACAGGTTGGTTGTGGGAGACAGGTAGGTTGTGGTTGTGGTTGTGGTTGTGGGAGACAGGTTAGTTGTTGTGGGAGAGTCAGGGAGACAGATGGGTCACAGATGACAAACAGTTGACTACTTGGGGATTGGGGGTGGGGGAGGTGCGTAAAATCTATTGCGTTGGCATATGACAGGTAGATAATGGTTGAGGAAGACAGGTAGGTTGTGGGAAACAGGTTGTGGTTGTATGAGACAGGTAGGTTGTGGTTGTCAGGTAGGTTGAGGTTGCAGAAAACATATAGGTTGTGGGAGACAGGTAGGTTGTGGTTGTGGAGAAAAAGGTAGGTTACAGATAGACTACTAGTTAATATTTGTCAATACTATATTAAAAACTATTCTCTTGAGAAGTTATTGTAACACTCTATTCCATTGCCTCACCACACTTTTTGATTTGGTACATGCTCTCCTAATCATTTGCCAAGCTTTCAGTCTTGGCATCAGTGGTTGAACATGTAATGATGATTTTTCCTGTAAGGTGTAAATGGGTTCAAAACAACCAGGATATAATTTTTAATGTCGTCAGAAGGCTATTATGATGATAATAATAAAATAAATATGATGCATTTGAATGCATTGTAAGAAAATGTAAAGAGCCCACAAACACAAATTATATATTATAATTAGTAGCTGAAATTGGATGTTGAGTCAAGTGTGACCTATTTTCTTTTGTTGAAGGATTTCACAGTATAATGTTATTTGATCAAGATATTGATTGTATTCCCATTTTGAGAAAAAGCATGATAAAAGATGTCTAATCAGATAGAAGCAATGTATAAAATGCACCAATTTGACAATACTGTCTTTATTTGGGAGACCTGCATTGAAATGTATGGTGGTGAGTATGCCCATGCAAATAGCAAAACTGCGAAATTTCACTGGTGCTTCATATACTGGTAAAACTGTGACAGTAGAGAAGTTGTGAAGGCATGGTATTTAACATGTTTTAAGGTATACTGTATGTAGAAAAAGACTCTGGATATATTGGTCTATATCATAAATTATTTGCTTGGTAGATGTAGATAAGAATGAAAAAAGGGAATGAATGAAAGGTTTGCATTTTTATTTGATGCAGGTAGTACTGTTGTAAACTATTCTTCATGTTAATTTGTTTTTAAAGAACCTGAATGTTAAATAATAAAATAAACAAAGAGATACAATGCCATTTTTTCACACATACTAGTACATCTGTATTTCAGTCTGTAATTTATCCAGTGTTTGTTATGGTGGAGCTTTGTTTAGTTATTCATGATTTGAGTTGAACATAATAATATTCTGTGATATGGCCCTATAATCTCAAACCATACAGATCACATCATTGATTTAATACTTTTCACTGCTAAAGTTTTTCATTTTGAATTCCCAAATTTAAATATGAAACTTCATTTCTCATTTAAATGTAAAACTGCATTTTTTTTTCATTTAAATATTGAGATTGAAAATATCTTGAGTATGTTACAAGAATGTGTGGTATAACAAATATTTATGTTTCTTTTTAGACNGTGTGGAGTTGTATACCAGTGTGAGTGTCAGGTGTGTGGAGAGAAATACATCGGAGAGACAGGACGTTCCTTAACTGAAAGAATCGCTGAACATCAAAAATCGATCAAAAAACATGATAAAAAATCTGCCCTCAGCCAACACCAGGAACAGACAGGGCATTGTATAACATCAACAACCATAGAAGACATAATAATCTTGGAAAGAGAGCCACGAGATCTACACCGGAAAGTTCTTGAAGCAATTAACATCCGCTTACATGGGGCCAAGTTGAATCGGAATGATGGGACTGAGCTACCCAACCTCTACCTACCACTCCTAAGGGAGGGGCAGGCAAGGGGGGGGGGATCTGACCAAATAGCACACCAGAGGGGGTGACAGGTTGTCATACCTGTCACAACCTCATTCCCTGACGAAATCTGACTGCGAGCAGATGAAATATTGGATGGTAAGATCAAACTAATATAAATAGCTATAGACAAAAGAATCTTCACAAGTCTATTATAATAACATAGCTAATGAAACTGTTCTACACTATGTTTCTTTTTGTTTTCTATTTCTTTTTCATAGAGTTGTTGATGTGGGTTCAGAATGGAGAACATTTAGCAACGAGAAAGATTCCAAAGATGCTTCTCGTGTTGGTGGACCAGAGGTGTGATACTTTATGAATATAATTTTACAAATATAAAAACAGTTGCCAAAAGAAAGTATTCTATATAATAATATAATTATTTTTAAGAGCCCCCTTGCATTTTTTTACAGTTTTATATGAAATATTAACAGCACAATGTTTTCAAAAGGCCCCTGAGTTTTATATGAAGTATTAGCAGTACATTGTAGAGGTGGTAGTCATGTTAATTAATACCAACACTTTAGCATGTTTCATTTGCACATGCTGGCTTAACATATATAAACCTTTTAACCACTAATGGATATGTTACTTTCAGAATACATTGCTTGGAGGCAGTGATCTCTTTACAGAAATTACCTACACAGGAGGAGAGGCCAGTGTTGATGACCAAGGGAGACCCACTTACAAAAACAGAAAAACGGTAAATAAATTAATAAGTTTAAGTAATTTGCAAGGATAGCTTTAACTCATGTTCTTTTTGTTTTGAAAAAGTGTACCTGTACAGAAGTGAGAGATTGCTGTCACGAATTTATAACACTCAATGCTACAGGTAATTAAAAAAAACTGTACATTTAACATCAGGTAATGTTGGTACAGCAGGTACAATTTAACCGTTAGCATTTTCATGCCAGGAATTTCTTATCTAAAGAACACTTTCCTAAAAAAAAACCATTTTAGTCTAAATGATAATATAGAGCCAAACTCCAAATAGTTCTGTGTGCAGAGAAATTGTTCAATCGTGATTAATATCCGCATTGTATGTTTTTGCAGATGAGCAGCTCCGATAGAACTTTACTGAATTCCTTTAGAGAGATTTCCCAGATGGCAGACAGGTTAAATCTGCCAAGGATGATAGTAGTGAGTATACTCGGCTTTCCCTTTTGTAATGTATTCTTATCCAATACAAAAGTGTAATAATTAATAAATATGTTTAAAGATTGGAGACTGTTAATCCTTTCTTGAAGGTTTTATGGAGCACACTTGATTTTCACTAAAACGTTTTGGGTACGTGAACATAAGTTTGACCAGTTCCTTGGCTTTTTGTAAGCAAAAAAAATTGACAATATGCCCCACAAAGTTTTTTTTTTTTACTATGGCCTTAAATTTGTCTGTGACAGGCATTGAATGGTGGTGTGCTGGTTTTTTAAGGCACATCTTACATGTTAGAACTTAATACAGTTGACCAAAAAAGTGATTTTCCTGAAAAATTCCAACACTATTTCTTATCACCAAGGTACACAGTATCCAAAACTGCTGACAAAATTATGATCTGTAAACTTATATTGGAGTTCAAAGTTTCAAATGTTTTAGCCAATCTTATAATGTGTTAATTTCACTCATTGTGTAAAAAATGTAATTTAACATTCGAAAAACCTTTTTTTAATAGGAATTTCCCCAACAAATTTAAATAGGATGTACCTTATTAATAAGGGAAAATGGTTTAAATTAACAGGGAATTGTGGGGATAGGGGACTGTAGAAAGTTCAAATGTGCATTGTGTATCTAAAATACAAAATGATATTTATCTTTTTTAACTGATATGAATTTTGTATTTCTTATAGGACAGAGCTAACACACTGTTCAAGCAAGTTCATGACAGCAAATCACTGAAGGGAAAAAGTAATGATGCCATTTCCTCTGCATGTCTGTACATTGCCTGTAGACAGGAAGGTGTACCCCGCACTTTCAAAGGTCAGATTTCAATTTTTTTTCTTATTTTAAGGACTCGATATTGTTAGCTTCATATGAAGAAAAATGCACACATAGTTTTTAAAGAGTTAAGCTGCTGTAGATCAACAGCTGAGTGTATTTTTATGCTCAGATGGCATATCAGTCATATATAATTAGTAGTAATATCAGTTACCAGTTTAAATGCTTATCTCTGAACTGATAACAGTGACTATTTGAAGGCATAGTTGTAATACCCATTTCAGTTATATAAGCTGTATGAATAATATATTACGTAATGGGTGACCAATGTTATTAGTTGATAAAATAGTCTTGTGATCCTCTTAGGAACGAAAATCTGAAACACTGAAAATATGTAGAACAAATTATTATAAGATTATAAAATTGAATATCACAGTCGATATTGATTTAAATGTTCCAAATTTTTAACGTCATTTTTTTTTTTTTCGTTTCAGAAATATGCGCTGTTTCTAAAATCTCTAAGAAAGAAATCGGAAGAACATTTAAAGCAATTGTGAAGAATCTGGAGACAGATGTTTCCACCATAACCTCTGGGGATTTTATGGTAAATATTTTATTAACCTGACACAGCTGAATAAGGAATACTACCTCTTTTGGCTCTGTGGTTCAATACACATTATACATTCCAGATTTGCTGTGTATTTCTTTTAATATTTTGTTTAAACTTGGTAACCAACAATGCAATGTTGTCATACTCACTTGATACAGACACATTGCACAGATGTATGATTCTTTTGAAAACTGTATGTAATGATAGTGATTTTTATATTACAGTCACTGGGGTAGCGCTGGCACTTGCCAATTTAGCCAAATGCTAAAACTGACTTAAATTGGCTAAACAAAAAGGACTTGATTTGATGAATTTTAGTCAACCTAAAACCATTTTCATAACAAATTGACAAAAAAGTGATGATTTGGCTAAGCGGAAAAAATTTCTAGCGCTATCCCTGAGTCAATAATTTCACTTTTAGATATACTGGTTATTTACTTTCTCCTGATGCCAGCATATGAGATTTGAACAGATTGTTATAAATGTTTAATATAATTGGAGAAAATGGAAAATTTTGATCACATTGCACCCTCAGATAATTAATAACTTATAAAACCTTCATTTTTGTTCTAGTCCCGTTTTTGTTCCAATCTTGGTTTACCAAGTTCAGTCCAGAAGGCAGCCACATATATAGCTAAGAAAGCAGTGGAACTGGATTTGGTGTCAGGGTAGGTGATACATCAACAAAGATACAGCCAATAACAATGATGTTTTTTTAATGTTAACATGCTCATTACTTGTGTGTGAAGAAGATTTGTTGTGTACATTAACAATAGAAGTTGTAGACTAATGACCAATATTGAAGCTGTCAGGAAATGGCTATATTTGATAGAGTACCGAGGGAATTATGTTACTAATTTTGCTTTATTTAAGGTAATGGTAATGGTTTTGTTAATGGTACTTAGATTATCATATTGTCCCATTCCCCTGTAAGAGTTTACCTGAATGAGTAATCCTGTTATACCATGTGGGTTTGACTTACAGGAGAAGTCCAATCTCTATAGCTGCTGCTGCCATCTATATGGCCTCACAAGCATCAGAGGACAAGAAAAGCCAAAAAGGTGAGTTTTCTGCGATATGCTGTGAGTAGGGGCCTGTTTCACTGAAGAATGCAATCCTCAAAAGGTGGTCTTAAATTTTGAAATTAAAATTTTNTGAAGATATTGATTGTATTCCCATTTTGAGAAAAAGCATGATAAAAGATGTCTAATCAGATAGAAGCAATGTATAAAATGCACCAATTTGACAATACTGTCTTTATTTGGGAGACCTGCATTGAAATGTATGGTGGTGAGTATGCCCATGCAAATAGCAAAACTGCGAAATTTCACTGGTGCTACATATACTGGTAAAACTGTGACAGTAGATAAGTTGTGAAGGCATGGTATTTAACATGTTTTAAGGTATACTGTATGTAGAAAAAGACTCTAGATATATTGGTCTATATCATAAATTATTTGCTTGGTAGATGTGGATAAGAATGAAAAAAGGGATTGAATGAAAGGTATGCATTTTCATTTGATGCAGGTAGTACTGTTACTATTCTTCATGTTAATTTGTCTTTGAAGAACCTGAATGTTAAATAATAAAATAAACAGAAAGATACAATGTCATTTTTTTCACCCATACTAGTACATCTGTATTTCAATCTGTAATTTATCCAGTGTTTGTTATGGTGGAGCTTTGTTTAGTTATTTGATATAAGCCTTTAAGGTTTGAACAAGTTGAACATAATAATATTATGTGATATGGCTCTATAATCTCATACCATACACATCACCATTGATTTAATACTTTTCACTGCTAAAGTTTTTCATTTTGAATTCCCAAATTTAAATATGAAACTTCATTTCTCATTTAAATGTGAAACTGCATTTTTTTTTTCATTTAAATATTGAGATTGAAAATATCTTGAGTATGATACAAGAATGTGTGGTATAACAAATATTTATGTTTCTTTTTTTTTTCTATTTCTTTTTCATAGAGTTGTTGATGTGGGTTCAGAATGGAGAACATTTAGCAACGAGAAAGATTCCAAAGATGCTTCTCGTGTTGGTGGACCAGAGGTGTGATACTTTATAAATATCATTATACAAATATAAAAACAGTTGCCAAAAGAAAGTATTCTATATAATAATATAATTATTTTTAAGAGCCCCCTTGCATTTTTTTACAGTTTTATATGAAATATTAACAGCACAATGTTTTCAAAAGGCCCCTGAGTTTTATATGAAGTATTAGCAGTACATTATAGAGGTTGTAGTCTGTTAATTAATGCCAACACTTTAGCATGTTTCATTTGCACATGCTGGCTCAACATATATAAACTTTTAACCAGTAATGAATATGTTACTTTCAGAACACATTGCTAGGAGGCAGTGATCTCTTTACAGAAATTACCTACACAGGAGGAGAGGCCAGTGTTGACGACCAGGGGAGACCCACTTACAAAAACAGAAAAACGGTAAATAAATTAATAAGTTTAAGTATTTTGCAAGGGTAGCTTTAACACATGTTCTTTTTGTTTTAAAAAAGTGCACCTGTACAGAAGTGAGAGATTGCTGTCAGGAAGTTATAACACTCAATGCTAAAAAATGTTTAAAAAATTGTCTACTGTGCATTTAACATCAGGTAATGTTGGTACAGCAGGTGCAATTTAACTGTGGACATTTTGCAGGCTAGAATTTTATCTGCAGAACACTTTCCTAAAAAACATTTTAGTCTAAATGATAATATAGAGCCGAACTCCAAATAGCTCTGTGTGCAGAGAAATTGTTCAACCGTGATTAATATCCGTATTGTATGTTTTTGCAGATGAGCAGCTCCGATAGAACTTTACTGAATTCCTTTAGAGAGATTTCCCAGATGGCAGACAGGTTAAATCTGCCAAGGATGATAGTAGTGAGTATACTCAGCTTTCACTTCTGTAATGTATTCTTATCCATTACAAAAGTGTCATAATTAATATGTTTAAAGATTGGAGACTGTCAATACACATTTGATTTTCAATAAAAATGTTGGGTACATGAACACAAGTTTAAACAGTTCCTTGGCTATTTGTAAGCAAAAAATTGACAATATACCACACAAAGGTTTTTTGCCTGTGACCTTAAATCTGTCTGTGACAGGCATTGAATGGTGGTGTGCTGGTTTTTTAAGGCACATCTTACATGTTAGAACTTAATACAGTATGTGTTAATTTCACTCGTGTAAAAAATAATTTAACATTCAAAAAAAATTTTTTTATAAGAATTTTCCCAACAAATTTTAATAGGATGTACCTTCTTACTAAGGGAACATTGTTTAAATTTACAGGAAATTGTGCAGATAGGGGACTGCATAAAGTTCAAATGTGGATTGTGTATCTAAAATACAAAATGATATTTATCTTTTTTAACTGATGTGAATTTTGTATTTCTTATAGGACAGAGCTAACACACTGTTCAAGCAAGTTCATGACAGTAAATCACTGAAGGGGAAAAGTAATGATGCCATTTCCTCTGCATGTCTGTACATTGCCTGTAGACAGGAAGGTGTACCCCGCACTTTCAAAGGTAAGATTTCAATTCTTTTTTTCTTATTTTAAGGACTCGATATTGTTAGCTTCATATGAAGAAAAATGCACACATAGTTTTTAAAGAGTTTAGCTGCTGTAGATCAACAGCTGAGTGTATTTTTATGCTCAGATGGCATATCAGTCATATATAATTAGTAGTAATATCAGTTACCAGTTTAAATGCTTATCTCTGAACTGATAACAGTGACTATTTGAAGGCATAGTTGTAATACCCATTTCAGTTATATAAGCTGTATGAATAATATATTACGTAATGGGTGACCAATGTTATTAGTTGATAAAATAGTCTTGTGATCCTCTTAGGAACGAAAATCTGAAACACTGAAAATGTGTAGAACAAATTATTATAAGATTATAAAATTGAATATCACAGTCGATATTGATTTAAATGTTCCAAATTTTTAACGTCATTTTTTTTTTTCGTTTCAGAAATATGCGCTGTTTCTAAAATCTCTAAGAAAGAAATCGGGAGAACATTCAAAGCAATTGTGAAGAATCTGGAGACAGATGTTTCCACCATAACCTCTGGGGATTTTATGGTAAATATTTTATTAACCTGACACAGCTGAATAAGGAATACTACCTCTTTTGGCTCTGTGGTTGAATACACATTATACATTCCAGATTTGCTGTGTATTTCTTTTAATGTTTTGTTTATAACTTGGTAACCAACAATGCAATGTTGTCATACTCACTTGATACAGACACATTGCACAGGTGTATGATTCTTTTGAAAACTGTATGTAATGATAGTGATTTTTATATTACAGTCACTGGGGTAGCGCTGGCACTCGCCAATTTAGCCAAATACTAAAACTGACTTAAATTAGCTAAACAAAAAGGACTTGATTTGATGAATTTTAGTCAAATTAAAACCATTTTCATAACATATTGACAAAAAAGTGATGATTTGGCTAAGCAGAAAAAATTTCTAGCGCTATCCCAGAGTCAGTAATTTCACTTTTAGATATACTGGTTATTTAGTTTCTCTTGATGCCAGCATATGAGATTTGAACAGATTGTTATAAATGTTCAATATAATTGGAGAAAATGGAAAATTTTGATCACATTGCACCCTCAGATAATTAATAACTTACAAGACCTTCATTTTTGTTCTAGTCCCGTTTTTGTTCCAATCTTGGTTTACCAAGTTCAGTCCAGAAGGCAGCCACATATATAGCTAAGAAAGCAGTGGAGCTGGATTTGGTGTCAGGGTAGGGGATACATGTACATCCGATATTAATGTTGTTTTTTAAAGTTGACATGCTCATTACTTGTGTGTGAAGAAGATTTGTTGTGTACATTAACAAAAGAAGTTGTAGACTAATGACCAATATTGAAGCTGTCAGGAAATGGCTATATTTAATAGAGTACTGAGGGAATTATATTACTAATTTTGCTTTATTTAAGATGTTGTTAATGGTACTTAGATTACCATATCATCCCATTCCCCTGTAAGAGTCTACCTGAATGAGTAATCCTGTTATACCATGTGGGTTTGACTTACAGGCGAAGTCCAATCTCTATAGCTGCTGCTGCCATCTATATGGCCTCACAAGCATCAGAGGACAAGAAAAGCCAAAAAGGTGAGTTTTCTGCGATATGCTGTGAGTAGGGGCCTGTTTCACTGAAGAATGCAATCTTCAAAAGGTGGTCTTAAATTTTGAAATTAAAATTTTAGTCTACTTTGACATAGATCAGTTGTAGTCCTTTTCTGTTTTGTATTAAAGGTGTAAAAAAGCTGACAATTGAAGTATTGAAATACATTTAACTTGAACATTTTTATATTAAATGCAGAACATACTCAGGGAGTGAAAAAGATGTACATGTAGATCTGCAAATAACAAATGTAAAAACAGTTTATCCTCCTTCTGATAACTAGCACATCATTAGGAAGAAAACTTTTGAAATAAAAGTGGCCAGAACTCAGTCATTCAAATCCCCCCTTACTCCATACACATATTTTGATTATCATGATCATTCTCTCTGAACTGGCAGATTTTATTTTCACAGACATATAACATCTAAGTTGCTTTTTACATGACAATACGTTTAAATCTGGTCCTTTTTTTCAGAGATTATTAATAATAAAACAGTGAGTGTCAAAGGGTATTCCTTTGATTGGCAAGAAATTTAATTTAGTATATTATTTTTGTATTCATCTAAGTGAGGATGTTACTTTGGTATTTCATGTAGTATGATTAATATTTATTATTATAATAATTCCAGAAATTGGAGACATTGCCGGTGTTGCCGAGGTGACAATCAGGCAATCTTACAAGTTAATGTATCCTAAGGCAGTGCAGCTGTTCCCAGAGGATTACAAGTTTGCCACTTCAATCGATCAATTACCTGCTCAATAGACTTTCATCTGAAATACATTTGTACTTGTAACTGTTTTCACTCTGGGAATCTGTGTTAATGAATTTTGATTAATTTTTTTTTTTTTGTATGATAATGTCATAAAACTTATTGGACGCACCCTATGCTTACGATCTGACCCATGTCATTTTTCTTTGTTTTAAAACCTCTATATGGTCTTTCAGTTATATCTATATCTTCTGACTTCACTGGTTGAAATGGGTGCCTAACTATACTATCGTCTACCAGCACAGTAAGACGACTTTCCTTGTTTGTCATGATTGACATCATGCAATCTCTTACCTCCTAATATAGAGCTAACTGTTACCTAGCTGTGTTGATTTATATACACAAGTCATCAAATATTCCAGTGTGAGTGTGCATTAAATAATAATAATAATTATTTTTTTATTTTTGCACATGTAAACTTCTAAATGTTTGTAAGATGGCATATAACAAATTGAAACAGTTTGTTTAAGCAGCCTGGTAGATATTTCGTAAAAAAAACATAGCGCTTTATAGGAAAAACATGGTAAGACCAGCTGTTGTACATATCAATGTATAGTGGGGATTAAGGTTTGGTTATTTTTATTGCATGAACAAAATGCCTGTTATCAATATCGCACCCTGTATGTGTACCCTGTGTGACAGGAATGGTAGTCCTAGAAATGGAAATCCGGGGTCCCATATGATAAATATTGGTTAGTGTCAGTCGGAGCATTGGGGTTAGTATATGGGACCTGTACAAAGTAATGGGAAGTGGACTGCGGTTCCAAGCATTCTACCATTCCTGTTGACACCTGCATCCAGCTTATGTTGAGGGTTTGTAATTTGCACAGTTCTTTTGAATCAAATTAGGTAAAGGGTAGACGTTTCAGCAGACTGAATTTCTTACCTTTTATTAAAATCATCTGCTAGAATCTGGAGTTCAGGGATATCGGATAGCTTAAAACAAAAAGAGACTGTAAGATGAGAATCGGAAACCAAAATGCTTTTCATCTGAGGCACATATTGTATTGCATTTCAAGCACATATGCATTTCAATCCTTTTTTGCATCAACCGTGAACACAATTAGTTGGAGTGCTCATCATTGTGTCATGGTCCCTAGTGCGCCAATAAATAGGACAAAGACAATTATGACCTTTTTAAAAACCGGAATTTATAAGTCAAAGTGATTTCATGAAATCTGCGTCGGGTGTCAGTTTCTTCACCATTTGCCGAAAGGCTTGAAAACGATGGATTCCGCTATTTATCGTAATGCAAATTTGTTGTCAGGAGTGGTGATATTAAACTATTTCTATTTTACCAAAGAGTAATAAACGTTTTGGAAGTCTTGGTTAAGAAGTCTCGTCTAAAAGCTTGACAGACACATTCTAAGTGAGGGTGCCATGAACAAAATGAAAATGAGATTCTCACGCGGGATGAATACACTGCGATAACGACACGACTTATTTATTCGGAGAAATGGATTTTTTACTTTATTATACAATATAATAGGAAATATTATCCGCACGTTTTTATATCGTGCTCCAACAGTAGAAATTTGTATGCATTTGTTATACAGCATAGTCTTTCTATAAGCGTTTGCTGAAATAAAACGGTGAATATGATTGCTCGTTATAATATACACGGCTTGCACTAACGGCGTGAAGTAGCGTTAATGAAAGTTAATCTAATGAAATAGTTTTAAAAAAGATTATTCCCAGTAAAATCAAGCCACGTGCAAACAGAGAGGTTCGACTTGCTTTGATCTTGACCGTTATGACCATGTAAATTAATTCAACCCCTTTTAGAAATAAAAGTCAGACTGATCCCAAAGTAACGAGTTAATTCAATTTATTTTCTCGTATATAAACATTTTTATATCCTTCACTTTAAAAAGGCGGTTAGATATGTGCTTCGATGTGAAGCTCATATGGTATTTTTATGCTCAGTGATTGCCATCTTTTGCCCTCCACTTTTGTTTACACCCCCTCCCCTCCATTATATTTTGTTTATATTATTTCTTTCACAATAATAAACTTAGGTCATTTTAATAAATGGCAATGTTCATAGGTATTCCCTGTGTTTTGTTATACATGTACGTGTTCGAGCAAGAACATCTTCGGTAAACCTTTGAGCAAATGGGTCGCATAGATAATTATTCGCATGGAGATAAATATTGAATAGTTCGCCGAGAAAACCTATAATGACGATGGACTCTTTTTAAAAGTCTCCATAGCTAGTTTATGTTAATTAATTTTACATATTTCAAATAACTCTTTGCGACTTACCATCGAAAACGTGTTGCTAATGAATGGCATGTTGATATAATTCTTTTACTGGTGTTTATTGAAGAACGATCACAAATATTTGACTTTTTGGCACGTAACACAAAGGCTCTGGCAAATAGCCAATTTCATCTGTCCTCATTAGAAATCTCACACCTGGCGCACACCATATTTGTTCTGAGCATTCCCGGGAAAGTATGCTGTTTGATTAATGTTTGCGGACACAGCTGAAAATAATTATATTCGGTTAAGTATACATCTCTGCCATTAATGTAGTTTGTATTAATGATGTACATTCATTTGTGATATTTACCGGTGGGACCTGATTAACATTACAGTATCTAGGACCATCAGACCATAACGTTAGTGCCTGGTAGCTGTCACAATATCACAGAATGCTTCAACAAAGAGCAACCTTTTGTTCAGTGTGTGTAAAAATCAGTTAAATATTTTTTTAATTTAATTGGTTTGATGATTAATGGCCATTTTTTATTTGTTGAATTTATGCATGTCCACTTTCACATTTTTGAATATAAGATAATCGTACATATCAATGAGAAGAATGCTCATTTGCAAAATGTGTTTGTTTGACCAATTTTGAAGGTAAAAAAACGCGCTTTTTTAAAACAGTTCATTACACTCCTTTTTTATAACATTGAATACAGAATATAAAACATGGAAATTCAGAGGAGCATCTCCTTTTCGGATAGGGAATATCTGACCATTCTGTCGCCTCTTGATTTTGTTGGTAGGTGACGTAAAATGGTAGGTTCCTTCATCAGTTTTGTTGGGCCCATTAATTAACTCATCAGTTCTTCGTATGATACGGGATCGTATGGAAGGCCTACCTTAGGCTGAAGGTTATCCTCAGTGGTTTGACACACGGTAAACTCGACTACACGTCTTTTTTTTTTATGAGTATTTTTCTCTCAGAAAAAAGTAGATGCCTGTCAATGTAAAGTGGAAAATTTCTGACCCTCTTCCGGGAGACCCAGAAGACGGCTTCAGTCCGCTTTTGTTAAGCCCCACTTCCCTCCGTTTCAAGTGCATTTTTATCGTTCATAATCTGGTTTATAAGACGAATAATCAGAAGCAAGATAATGTAGACAATCCTGGGGCCTAGAAGTATTTGAAATATCGCAATGAGCAAGCGAATCCATTAATTGCAGCGTGAGCGTACCCACAATACATGCTTGCAGCTCTTTTTGTATGTTTGTGAGAATAGCTATGTCTGTTGTCTCTTTATATTGATTAAACCTCTCGAGGTAAGGTTATTAATCGGGTCCTAAAGTTAATAACTGTAACGGATTTACCAGCTACAAAAAACGAACCCCTTATAATAGCCTGGGTATATCTAACGCCAAGAACAGACATGCACAAAGAAAAAAAGGAAAAGGGAATGACAGAGATACGATCGAACGAAAGTTAACCCATTTTCTTAGGAGAGCTAACGATCTTGTAACCTTTTGTGTTATTTTCAAAGAAAATAGTATGGGGCATGCAAAAGCAAGGAAAACGTGTTTTTTCTAGATAATAGATATCATGGAAATGAGTAGAGAAACAGAATAATATTCAGGTAACAGGTAGACGTACATCGATCTTCAAGGCAAAACCAAGAAGCTTCTCATTAGTAACGAATGTGTTGTCATCACACAAAAGAGAAAAGAAGAATAATAGAAATTCCTCACGAATTTGCTGGACAACTGCCAGATAAAATTTTGTGCCCTGGCCTACACGTAGATAAAACACTCAGAAAAATTAACAATGTAACAGACTGTTAGCAAAGATTTGGAAATCTTTCTTGGGGTATAATCTAAAATATGTTTAAGCTTTTGGTAACCAAAAAAAGAATTAAGAATCGCAAGAATTAAGAATCGCAAGGTTATTTTCAAAAAAAAAAAAAAAAAAAAAAATAGAATGAAAAAAAAGATGCAGCCCATGGTTTTGACGGCTTAGTCCGACTTTGAGGATGTTTGGCAGTCGATAACTAGAGAAAACACTCGTCATCCGAGTCTGCAAATTACTTTCTATTGCACTTGCTCCGTCGATAATACATCCACATGGTGGAAAGCACAGCGGTTGCACTGACCCTAAATCTGATCGCTTGAGTTCTTAACATTTGTATTAGATCAGAAGCCCTAAGCATGGGAGCTTACCGCTGTTACCGATTCCTTATGCCAGTCGCCGCTCGTCCTGAAAAATCCGTGTATCAACATGAAAAATCTATTAGATTGTATTGAACGCCGCGAGCTGTTGGGGCTAGAAATATAACGGTTAGTTCAAGTAGGTTTAACCAGAGATAAGTGCATCTGCTAATAGAGATGGTGGGGCGATTTTCCAACTCGATGTGTGGAGATGAGAAGAAGAAAAGATAGGCACCGGTAGACGAGATAATGGATTTTTTGGTTGGAAATTTAGTTGCAGGTGAGTCGATAGTTTGGGCATAAGCGTTTTGAATATGACAAGCTACCACATGTTTTAATGAACCTTGTACATGTGCTTTTAATATTTCAATTTATTTCTCATATCAAAATAGAATTGGAAAGACTGTAGTATCACCGAAGGCGGCACATTACATCGTCATATTTGTCAATATCTACATATTTTAATTTCAATTTTTAATTGTCCAAAGATATTGTTTACACGGAACCATAAAGAGTTAATAATAGGCCTACACTAATTTGTTAAATATTGCTGATATACTTAAATACCAGATATTAATTTAAGGAGTGTAGCAATCACTGAGATTTTTGCGTATGTTATTTACTTTTTAAACTAAAAACAGTAGCGGAATAGTTTACTTCGTTTAAAGACAAAAAAAGTAAGTTGGTTGCTAAAACTCTTGATGATACGGATGCTGGGCGTGCTTTCTTTACTTTTTATCTGAAACTCATAGTACAATTTACGTTGTTAATTAAAAAAAAAACAGCATCCAAACCAGGTTTCCAAACCAATCTTTGAATTTTGGTCGTCCCACCAATAATTCAATTTTCATCTTACGCCCTTATACGTTATGTAAACAAACGTAAAATACATAAAACACCAGCCTATATTTTATGCACCAGTAAAAAGAACAAATACATTAACCGATGAGTAATTTGGTTTCCTGGATTGAAAGATATAGTAGTATAAATAAAAGCAGTAAACAATAAAAAGGCCTGGATCTGAAGTATACATACTGGCATAGCTAACTGAGCAGAACCTCGTGTTAGAGTATTTTGATTTTTATGTCGAGATGCTTTACCTCATACAGCAAACGGGGATTTGATAGCGGAACGTTTTAGATGAACCTGATGAAGGCAAAAGCAAACGGCAAAGTTGGGACAGTGTAAGAAATTGGAACAAATCCGCTTCAAGTTGAATTGACATTGAAGTCATGCAAAGCTGTTTCTTTGGTTACAAAGAAGCAAAAATTTCGACAACAGTAAATTATTTTTAAATTGACATTGTGCGCTTTGAGTTACGCACGTACTGTCGAATATGAAGAAACACACTCAAACGCATTCCAAAAATGATGCTTTATACATAAGGTACGCGTATTGATGCATAATTATCTACGCTGTTACTTTTGTAAAGCAATAAGAATCGACCAGTTTGTATACTTGTGTTAAAATCAATTGATTTTCTGTTTTTGTGTTTGCATGCATTAAGCATAGGTCCTACATGCTCTTAGCAAGTGGACTATTTTCACAGGCTCCCTCGAGTCACTTGACCGAAACGGATTTATATTTAATTGATTAGATTTCCTCAAAGGAGCTGATGAGAGTGTGTGAAGCAAACGTGCTGTGGGGTAATGCTCTGTAATTAAGCGTGTCCAGAAGTGTTGAGTCTTCAGACTCCTATTTTGGACACCACCTGAGGGAAAGGCTAACAAAGGCAAATGTAACTTACTATGGCACCATCAGTAATAATACTGGTTTGCAAACAAGTGAGTTCCTTTCAATATTGAGAGAGAAACAACTCTGATCTAAACATGTTGCTTAACCCTGCTCCCATTCTGCCTAAGGGCGCAGGATGATGATGACAATGATGTTGAAGAGTGTTGCTGCTTTTGTTGTCCTGACTGTCATCCTCAGTTTGAGCGTCAATATGCTACACATTTTTTTATTCAGTTGGGCCCAGACGTTTTAAAAGTTTTCATTTTTATTTATCTGTTTGCTGAGACACCAAATAAGTCTTATATCATTTCATGCTAAAGAGAATCGTTGATGTTTTTGATAGTCAGTTTTGTCCGTTTACAATTTCAAAATTTCGGATGAAAATTATATTCTTTAACCCACGAAAGCACGCCATTAACTGATTGAAACAATATTCTGGACGCTTTGGACTGCTGCCAGAGTTAAGTTATACAGCAAAATTAATTTAAGAGATTGGACTTTTGTTTTAGCTGTTCTGACTTTTGATCTTTACCATTGTTCGTGGTATGTCTAGAATGCTGCAAAGACTTTAATCGTGTAGACTTATTCTGTCTTATGTTTTATATGAAACAACTGCAAAGTAGGTACCTTTCAAAGCAGGTAGCATTTAAGGAAGGTATCGTTCAAGGTTGAGGGTGAATTTTTTATGGCACAAAAGTTGAAATAACCAGAATACCAAGTCTTTATTTGTATTTGTTTGTACGTGTGTCTTGTCTTTAAGATAATAAACTTATGTAAGCTTTCTTCAAATGATACTTTCAAGGTACCCAACATCGTTTAACTTGGTGAATGGTATAGGACCATAAATGGCTTACATTGAACCACCTAAAAGGCAACATACTATTTCTTTCCACATAAAAAACGAAAGCAATGCCAATGTGTCATCATTTCACGGAAGGTGATAATTACATAATAGCATTCACAAATACCAGCCAATGTTATATCAATATGGCAGGTTCACGCATTTGAATAGAAAAGTTGGCGTAAAAATACGAGGAATGGAATTAAAACCTCGACATATGTCATCAAATATTATATCAAAACGGCTGGTTCACATAAATGAATAGAACAGTGGCATTTATCATTAATAATGATGACACACAGATCCAAAGGTGAATGCTGTCGTTTGGACACAGTTATTCCAGTACTGTAGGCCTATTTATCTAATCGATCAGAATTCCAACTCTGTAGACTTTGGCGTTGGGTTATAAATTGCCTAACAGGACTATTTGCTCAGGTAAATAAAAATTCGCCCAAGTGTATGCAGTTGTATCACTAAGTATGCATATCGATTCTACTGTGAAACGCACCCATGCTGTAATAATGGGTTGTGGCCACATGTTTTTTTCTTTCTTTTTTCTTTTTCTTTCTTTTTCTTATCTTTTCTCTTCTTTCTTTCTTTTTTCTTTCTTTTCTTTCTTTCTTTCTTTCTTTTTTTTTTTTTTGCATAATGAACAGCATAATGAACAGTTATGACTGAGAAAATTAAAGCATTTTATAAGCTATAAATATATGGCTACTCTTAACGTATCTGCAATGCTTGTGTTATTTGAACATTATGGCGAGATTAATATTCAGCACATAATGCATCGAAAATAAGAAATCTCATGGGACGTTCAACAACTATGTGCACCAGATAGTAAACTAGTGTTTCCATAAAACATTTCGATGCGTGCCTAATGATTCTACGTGACCGGGCGCGATATATATGTGTTTGTTATACTTATTATGTCCGTCTGACAGTGCTACGAATTTCTTGAGGCTGTAATTAGATAATGTTGGCACATGGTGTCCTCAGTCAATGAGTCACGCCTGACACACATGGTGCGGGTATAAATGTGGTCATAAAGAGCAACCCGTGCCCCATATTCAGAGGGGAAACTTTGGATAACATACTGAAATGAGCCAAATGCCATTGGTTATGAAAATGGCGCGGAATCATTGGCACATAAAATCATGGTTGTGAGTCAGTGCATGTACTGTACGGCAGTTTGGGGGTCTGAAGACGCGTTTACATTGAAGAAAAGTCGACCCTTTTGGGTACAGCCTTTCTCCGCGGGTCACCTGATTAAGCTAAGGGCTCCATAAACAGCAATGTATCACCTGTGAATTCTGAATTCTATACGCATGCTGAGCAATTTACCAGCTAATATCACCCGTTTCATCGCTCATTTGCTCCTCTGACTTGGACCAGTTGGACCATCTTTAGATACATGCGGTCGCCAATGAATTCTGCTGTTATTTCGGTTTATATAGGCCTAATATATCATTTACAGTTCAAGTTTCTACAAAATTGCCGAAAACCAGTGATTTGTGCCTTCGGATCAGATTGTTTGGTGAGGTGCAATGACTAGTTTGTCCCGTTAGGTACCAACGTTGACTTCACTTGATTCTGACCAAGAAAATATTGTCAACATAAAGTGTACTCGAGTATCTGTTTTCTGGTTATTAAACTAGCCATAAGGAAAAGAATCGATCTGCAGATAACGTAAAGCCGCATTTAGTCGTTCATTATCTATAACACAACAAACACACTGTATATCGCAACCGAGTCATGTTGACTGCATTTCCCGGCGTTGCATCTTTTCAAAAAAGAAACAGCTAACTCGTAGACTATCATTTTTCACCAATATCAAATGATTATTTCACCATTGTTTCTCTTTTCAGTAGCCACGTTATTAAGCCTCTGGTCTGGTACATCTGCCCTCAGTTGTTACATGTGCGATTACAGCAGTGGCGGCAAAAGTTGTCTGGCTGAGCCACAAGACACCTCTCTTCTCTCCCAGTGCAGAAAAGACGGACCAGCTTACTGTATGGCATTTCTATTCAGAGATTACTATAATGGTAAAATTCGTTTATTAAAATTTATTATATTGGTTATACGGTAGACAATTTTACTTGAGAGAGTAGTGTTTTAACACAGATATAGTGATTTTTGAATTATATTAAATATATGACATTTCAGCGTATGGTTATGTTTGGTGCGTGCGTGTATGTGTGTGGATGCACGTGGGCGCGCGCGTGTGTGGGTGCATGTGTGTTTGCAAGGAAGGGACGAGATGTTTGGGATAGAGGATAAGAATTTTGAATTTTTGATACTGAATATTAGAGATAGATAATAAAGAAATTGTAGCAGGTAAGTTGTTTTAGTGTAAATTGTTTTTCTTTTGTTCGTTTCCATTTTGTTCGTTTCGAATATGTCTGTTAAGTCCTCAACTGATTATTACAGTAATGTGATAAATAATTTAACCGATGGCTCACTTTGTCCTGTTACAATGTCACTCTGTTTATCTTCTAGGGACTATATATGCCTTTAAACGCACCTGTCGCACCCTGCGTTCCTGCCCAAAGGACGTGGACGGGAGGACCGTTATTAACGCATTGATATGCCAAGAAACAAACGAACTGTACTCAGGAAGGAAGGTTCGTATTATTTATCTTTATCTCTGATATACCAGCCACTGAAGAAATTTTCATATATTTCAAAACAATAAGTTGACATAGGCCTACCATCCATCAGCTCGGTGATCACAATTTGAGTAGGTCCTACCCCAGTGCATGTAGGCCTAAGCTACTGACGGAAATATTTTGTCAAGCTCGATTAAGTGCGATGAACGCTATGCCGGCTACCTACTATTGCATAGCAACATTAATAACCAAAGCAATTATCTTCGTCTCATTTTGTGAAAAATTTATATAGGCCTACTTCCTTCGAAAAGAAAATTGTGCTTGTTCGTGGTAATGTAGTGCAAGGTGATGGGATAAATGGGGCCGTAGCAATAGTCCGAAGGTTCAATAGTCCGAAGGTTCACTGGTCCGAATGTTCACTATAGAACCTTCGGACCAATGAACCCTTGATTAAAAAAACGATGAAAATGTTACTTTTTTCGGACCAATGAACCTTCGGACTATCGAGACGTAGCCTATAGGCCTAAATGTAGGGCCTATCCACCCTGATTTTCACTGCGTTATTTGTTGCGCAATTCATCTAACAATACTAAATTTCTTAAACTGATTTACGTCTTTAGGCTTTTGACTGTCGATTGTGTTGTGATTGGGACGGCTGCAACGACCAGTCCTTGAACATCATGAGGTATTCAGGAAAGGAAGCTTTGTTCCTGAATTCCACTGCTACGCATGCGCGGCGACTCTACCGTCTGCTCGACCACATACTTCTTGGAATGCTGACATGGAGATTGGCGACATGAATATATGGACACAGTTGCATCTTGGATACTTTATTATTATTGACTATTGATTAAAAAAGAATGCAATACTGTGCAATGGCTTTCGCTTACTGCAGACATCTATCAGGGCAGCGTCTTTATTAGAGTCTCATGAAAGGCCTATAAGCTGTTTAATGCGAATGCGAATCCGATTAACTACCAGGTAATCTGATATTGCCTTTTGAATACTGGTTTTGAATACAAGCCAAAAGACACCATAACTACTGAACAAAGGATCAGAATTATCATGTATTCCACAATTTTTTTTTATGTATACATTATATTATATAATATATGTGTTTATGAATTATAAAGGTCTATTGCAAAATACTTTGATTTACCTCACCAACTCCCGAAGTAGTCACGGCGACATTCAAATGGATGGATGGGAATTATTGTTCAAGTAAGCCTATGTTTATTGTATAAAATTCTCTTATGAAATACAGAGAAATTAATCATTAAAATTACTAACGTTTTCACATGAAAAATAAAATGCGGAATTTTTTTTTTCAAAGAAATATTTGCTTTACAGAAGAAGTCTTTGGAATATTTCTTGTAAAACGCGTCAGTGACACGAGTTTTCAGAATTAAAAATCATGGATCCCGCATTGAGGCTCATTATGACGCAGAAACTCATATGTTTTGGTTGGCCATCATTGAGAAGCATGAATCGTTCAGAAGTTGCTGCTGACTTAATATCAGTTGAGACTAGGGTGACAGAGGAAACAGCAACTTGTACGCTCAGTACTTATATCATCACTTTATCAATCATCAATTTAAACAACTGAGAAGCTAGACAATACAGCCATGCATGCTGTGGATTTATTCATTAAAAAATTTCTTTTCAATAAGTCTACATAAGTTTCTATTGATTATATTTCCTCTTTTTAAAACTCTTTTGTTGCTTGTTATTAGCGGTCGTATGACGTGATTCCTATGTTTGGCGAGCCTCACAGGGTGATGATTTGGATTAAATAGCACATAAGAGAATGTTGATTTAAATAATCTTACAGCTGTGGGAAATGAATTTATCACACTGCACGCTTCAAGCATTTTCAGTCATTATCGCAGGATAATAGGTATTTACAAAATAAAAGCAGGAAGAAAGTAATGCGGAAATTCGTTTTTATGATTTTTTTATGTTATCATTATTCCACATTTACTGTCATATCCAGGGATTTTAACACCATAAACCGATGGTGTGGAGATGAAATTTTTTTCTTTTTTAATTAGTGAAGCTCCTAGAAAAAGAGACCAATCATGAATGTGATATTGCTTATCTATTTTGTCAGGAAACATTTGACGTTAACGGTTTTGATCAGCATGATATATGTATATGTACAAATATGCCCATGAAACCAGGTTAGGGCAACATATGCGGCAGATTGTTCTTTCTAGAGCTTTCCCTTGAAAAACACAGAACGAGAGAATGAATTACATGCTTTTATTTGCAAAATCCCGCTCCCCTCTCTCTCCCGATTCCACCCACCACCATACATTAAATTCACGTACATAAATTATTTTAGCATGATAAACTCTAATGAATAATAGGGGCATAAATGGCCTGGGCTTCTTCGTTTCCAAAGTTCTCTTAATCTGTAAAACATCCTGTACAGACATCCTATATCAGTTTAAACAAGAATCCTGACAAAGAATAGGAGGTGTGTCAGTCTTTTTGATCAAGAGAAATTAAGGAGTAAAATACTGAAAAATAGAGCATTTCACCATAAAAGGTACAGGAGATCTAGGTTTAAAGTCGAGGTCACATTTTGATTTGCCATAATTGATTTCCTTTTTTAATAGGGATTTTTAAAAGTGCAAAAGTTACTATGGGCGTAGTCGTCTAGATTTGGAAAAAATATCGAAAAAATATAAGGATTAATGGGAGCCACATTAACTTGACCAACAAGAAACACAAGTAATACCACCAGGTTTCAGCTTAAACAGAGATAACATTTGGATAATACAGAGTCTACAAAGCCAAAATTGTCGAAAAAATAATGAGAAGAAATACAAAATAATAATAATAATAATCGGATCTCGCCCAGTTTCGAACATGACCAGCATTTTAGGGAAGCAAGTAATCCCTGTGTGTTTGAAGCAAACAGCAATGTTGTGTTCCAATTATCTTGGCAATAAGAAGTAAGTACGGCTTCCATCACGGCGATGCGGATAGACTGAGGTGATGGGAATATTTTCCGACTCTAATCTTGGTAGAAATTTTAATTTCTTAAAAGACACATACTAATATGCAAGTTAACAGAAGAAGGCAGACATATTTCATTTTGGATTACTGAAGAAACATTGCAAAAAAAATCATTAATATTGTTCTGGTGTCGCGTTTTTATTTTGAATATGATTCTTTTACTTGATCGCCACAAGAATATTACAACAGCTTTTTAGCCAAAACATCATATATGTATACTGTAATATATCAAAGGAAGTTCCATGAAAATATGTCTTATTGAATTTTACTGAAAACAATGGTCGATGTCGATTTCCTTCATCTTTTCTAATTTTAATTGCCCCACAGTTCACTAGGCTTTTTGTTCTTAATGGTGTTCCTAAATTATTAATCTCCGGTGGATTTTATAATCATTGATCTGACAGTGCCCATTTTATTAATGTTCACTACTATATATATATATATATATATATATATATATATATATATATATATATATATATATATATAATACTAGTTTCGTCCAGTTACACCTCACTCAGGCACATACAAAAATGTTTGCTCTTCGTATGTCTTTGGTGATCTTGGTCGCCGATGTATGGGCAAAAACGCCCTTCATGAGCGAGTATGAGTTTTCCCGCCGAAGAGATGAGTTGATCAGGGAAGAGAGAGAATATGCTGGGCACCTAAGGGAGCTGACTGCAGTAAGTCCATGATGAATTTGACAAGAAAAAAATAGACAATGAATATGTTTCTGGTATGAATTGATCAAGCTAAAAAGGCAAAGCACGAAGTTCGAGTATATGCGAAACTTTACCATTTCTGCAACCGCCTTACAGGCGGAGGGAAATCTATACAGTATGGAAAAAAATGTTTTTTCTTTTTCCCTTTCAAACCAAAAATGAGAAACAAATACTGTATTCTACTGAAAACCTCTTTGTAAGAAGCCTCAGAGTGTTCGTAAAATCAATTTTAAAATGATTTCTGATTTTGTGTTCATCTCTTTGTATATCTTATGTCGTTATATATGTCGGTATTTTAGTCTGTGTTTCATATTTAGCTTTAAAGCTTGGCCTGGGTGGGGGGGGTCTAAGGAGGAAAAGTGTGTGGGGGGGGAGGGGGCACTATAGGTACATGATGGAGTGGTGGGGAAGTGTTATCGCCTTACTTATTATTTTTTAAAACTTTTTCACATCAGGACGAAAAAATTGTCGACAACTACTTAGAATATCTCAAATGGCAAGAATTCATAGCTACAGAGGACAAATTCTTACCCTCGGTAGGATTGGAAGGAGTCCTTGATGATATTGTAAACTCCAAAGTTTTCAAGACTTTGAAGAAATTCCCAAAAGGTGGAAACATGCATCTGCATGAAAGTGAGTTAATAACACAATCACTTGTATATTCTTAAAGGAAAAATATTCAGAAGAAGGTGAAATAGCAAAGAGTTTTGAAAGGAATTAAACGTATTTATGACCTTTATCAAAGGTACATTTACGTCTTCATTGTGATCACCTTGATTGGAAAGATAATTCATCTTCTTTAGCTATGTTTTTTTTTTATTTTTAAGATCATATCCTCAGCAAAAAGAAAATGCTTGACATCGTCTTTGCCTCCGAAGACTTTGAGCACCTCCATGTCGCTGTGGATGTACCGGAATCTAAAAAATGGCGTCTGGATTTCTTCCTTAACCCACCGGCAGGTAGGTCAAAGGAATTTCTTTGGTATGTAGAAACAGTGTCACGTTATGTAGACATTTTCTTGGGCAAATGTTCCTTGCGAAGTTGTCCTTTTAGTGTATTATTCATGTATTATTCAGTATATGTATATGGAATGACCTCAGACTCTAGGTATATGAGGATTTTCTCTTTCTCTTTCTAAACAATAACGAATATCTAAAAATGACAATCAAGAAAATTTTCGGCCCCAAAATCATTTATCTCTCGTTTTAAAGTCGAGCTCAAAAGCCAAAAGAACCAAAAGCACCTTATGCTACATTGAGTACATGTATGCAAATAGGTGGGGAGTGTGGAGGGGGAGGGTTGAAATTCTCTCTCTATCAAGTAACAAAAATATCAGAATCGACGTAAAATAATATGTGTCATTTCCGGTATTATATACAATTAGGACTGTTTCGACTATAGGACTGTAGCAGTATTTTTAACGAACAAATAAATCAATTAACCAAATTTTTAAAACTAATTAATTATTAAAATAAAAATCATCGTTAAAGGAAAAACGGACAATCCATAGATTTGCCATGTTGCATTAAAATAAATATGTCTTATATCTTTATCAAGGTTGGGAAAAAGTGAAAGGCAATCCAAAATATACCAAAGAAAAACTTCTGCCGCATATGACCATGATGGGATCAATGACAGAGTTTGCTAAAGTTAACCCCACGAACAGCGCACGGAGATGGGAAGAGATGGACCCCATGTTTAGCAGACTGGGGTCAAAGGTCATCGCCAACGTAAACATTAAATTTAAATATCTAGAGGTAGGATGATTTCAAAATTCGTTTAATTTTCTAAGTAAATAGTATTGCGATGATTTTGATATTCAGGGCAAATGTGTATCTAAGTATTTCATAGTAAAGCGTCCATGATTAAAACCAGTCGATCTTTTACGTAACAATATCAGTATACCCCTTAATACTTTGAAGGTTATTCACCCAGTTGTGTTTTTCCTTAAATAAAATTTTTTAATCTGTTATTGTATAGCTTATAAAATACCTAAGGGTTTTTAGTTAGACTTAATTGTAAGTCCAATAATATTTTTTTAAAAACTTGTATGTATTGGTGCCATGTGTCCTTCCTTCTAGAGTTACCTGAAGGCAGCGTTGGAAGAGAACGTACAATATCTCGAGGCACGGTCTTCAATCTCCAGCCGACTGTACACCCTAGACCCCGACCCGAAATATAACTCCACAGGCGGCAAGAGGTACATAGATGAAACTGGGGGAGAATACGAGCTTCAAGAAAATATCAAATTCATCGAAGGGTTCGTCAAAAAGAATCCCGAGTTTATTGGGATGCGGAAGATCGTGAACTCTTACCGGGGTGCCTCCGTGAGCGAGATGTATGGCGACATGGAGAAGGCTGTGCGTTTGTATCATAAGTACCCCAGCTACATTGGTGGTTTCGACATGGTAGGGGAAGAGGACAAAGGCAACTCCCTCCTTTATTTCATGAATGACTTTATGAAGATGTATGATAATACCACAGGTAAAAGCCTTGTTCCGTTTTACCTGCATAATGGCGAAACCAACTGGCCTGACGATTTGGAGTCCTCCACGAACAAAAAGGACCCCGTAGGAACTCTCCAGAACACATACGAAGCCGTGCTACTCGGTGCCAAACGTGTCGGCCACGGGCTGGGCTTCTTTAAGCACCCTTATCTTTTAAACAAACTGAAAGAGCACCAGACTGCCATTGAAATTTGCCCTGCCAGTAACCAGTTGCTTGGTTACGTCCCCGACTTGCGAAATCATCCTGCCAATAATTTTATTCGAATGGGCGCGCCCGTGATTCTTGGTGCGGATGACCCTGCGACTTTTGGCTATGACCATTTCACTGTAGATTGGTACGAAGCGTTCATGGGGTGGGGGCTTCGCCTTCAGGATTTGAGGCACCTTGCCATCAATTCACTCAAGTATAGCACCATGCCGAAGGAAGACATAAATGCTGCCATAAAGGATAAATGGGAACCAGCGTACCAAAGATTTATCGCCGACATAAAGAAAGAGGCATGTGCCGTAGATTTCGACGCCTCGACCAATGCTCCAGCAATCTCCAGAATCGCTCCTCGTGAAGGTCCTATGAAGCGGTCTACCAAAGTGTACGTGTTCGGTCGGAACTTCGAGGAAGGTATCTGCAAGGGCGTGCGCTGCAAGTTTGGTAATGCCGTCGTCCCTGGGTCTTACATTTCTGGGCAGCACGTTTCTTGTAATGTGTCGGGGTTGCGACGAAGAAATAGAAAGGGTGCCGGAAAATCAAAGGCAGTGGGTGTTGCAGTGTCTGTGGACGGTGGTGCCACCTATATTTCATATGACGGCCAGTTCACCTTTGTTCGCAACCTGTGAGTGATGCAAAAATGACTATTTCGAATGATTTATTTCACCTTTCAAGCGGACTGAATATTAGAATTGACAGTAACGGAACGCATTTTATGCCTGACTTATGAGCTAAGCTAAATCTTATTTATTCATGGAATTAAAATGACCACATGAATAAAACAGCAATTACAATTCTGCTCTCCACCTCGAGTCATGTAATATTTTTTTATCATCATCGTTTTTCACGTCAAATGTAGAAATTATGTGGACCAGGTTGATGCCGAACATGAAGTTTTTTTTTAATCTCTTGATTAATAAACGTAAATATTTTGCTTGCTTTACTATTATCGGTCCGACGACAACAACGATCAGATGCATGATTTTATGCAACGTGGATATGCGCGCACCCCCCTTAATAGCAAGTAAATGACCCATTCTGCATTCAATGTGAAAAATCATCTCAATATCGTCATCATCTTTTTTTGCTTTAAAGCAATTAGTTTACTTTTTATTAGTAATGTTTTTAAAGCTTGATGCAAATAAAATCTGCATGAAAATCATATTATAATCCTTTCAGCTAGAAAAACGAAATTAGGGATATATCTGAGCCTTCTGTTTGAGCAACGTATTTGATTGTTTACAGATGAGAATTCTTGCATATTGGTGCATATAATTTAAGGACATATTGGTAAAGTAAAGTAAGGAAATTCAATTTTGTGTTTTTTAATGCTCATTGGAAAGAGTTCACCACAGGCAGAGGCAAGGTAAGTGTCTACGTTATGTAAAATCAGGCCAATTTGAAACCAAAAGCCATTATGCACTACTACTAATACTGATGTACCTTTGAATACACATAGTAAAGGTGAAGTGAAATGTAACGGATGGGCAATGTCGTAAGTTAAGCAAGTAGGTTTTTATTCAAACACGAAAAGATACTGGTCAAATGGCATCGAAATAATTTCGAATATGCAACATAAAGTCAAACAACTTCAATCGCTCAAATGTGCGGGAAACAGCCATTATGGGTTTGCAAAATATAAATAAAAATAAACAGACAAATATTCTTTTATAAAAAAAAATGAAATTCAAAACAGAATTTCTAAGATCGGTAAATTGAAATTTTTATTCTACGTAATATACTAAAAGATGTTTTCATTTGAGAAATTCGTGTAGGAATTTTAATACTAGATGGGGTGGTGTATATTTAGCTGTAAACAGTATAGAATCGGAACTAGATGTATGCAATTTGTACATTATGCTTATTCAATTTTGTTTTGAAAAAGCAGCCATGCCATTGCTTTTATACTTAATGAGCACCTTTGTATCATTAATGCACTACATACTATTCGAGTTCCTTTATCAAATTTCATTACCTAAATTCGACACTTGTTGATTTTAATTAACTTGAATTCTGAAGTGCTTGTTAAATTAAGTTCAGGGGGAATTTAAAGACTGTTTGGTGAAAAATAAACGTTGGTTTCACAGGGTGTGGTACCATTCTGAGTGGGGTCGGACGGGGAGAGACGGTGTAATCACTTGTGCAGTGTGGTTCCCATGACCTGTTAAAATATAAATTTGTAAATAATTCATGACAATGACATCCCCTAGATGTGGTAATGTTCATTATTAATTCGACTTACAAAACAGGAACGGAAGTTCGATGTGAAAAAAAAGGAATATTGTGTGGCTTAAGGCGTGTTATTTAAATCCAGGAAGCTCAAAACTCAAGACCGAGTAGATTAGGTTTACGTTGAATGGCATTCTACAAAGGTATATCTGTACAAAATGCCTGAAAAACGAGCCTCTTGGACTGAAAACTGTTTGAAACTACAAGGCGAACAAGAAAACGTTAAAACTGATGTAATAATTATTGATTCAATTCACGCGCATAATGTAACAATTGAAGCAGTGAGGTAATTAATAATATGTATAGTCAAGAAAGAAACACATCAAATGTTTACAAATAAAGAAAGACAAATTAAAGAAAGGAATGTAAAGGTCAGGTGTCCTGGTGAAATTAATAAATTAACAGTACTGGACAGGCATAAATCTAGCACGAAGACCCATGCATTTGGATTCGTATTTACGTCTTTTGATCTGAAATAAATGCATACAAAAAGGAAACGTGAATAGGACTTATAAATCTTCAGCGAAGAATGTTGTTCCAGCACAAATCAAAAGGTAGTAAGTCTTAGATCAACCCAAGATGTCCTTCGTGGAACCAAATCTATCCGGCGATTTATTATCAGGTTTGACAGGAATTTTTCTGTTGTCAACTTCTCCACCTGACTGACCATCGGACTGATTCTGAGGCTGCTGTCCGGGCAACCCTGGCTTGTTTGGCTGTTCGGGAGCAATCGGCTTTTCTGGCTGTTCGGGTAAACCCGGTTTGTTTGGCTGTTCGGGAGCAATCGGCTTTTCTAGCTGTTCGGGTAAACCCGGTTTGTTTGGCTGTTCGGGAGCAAATGGCTTTTCCGTCTCCTCGGGAGCAGTCGGCTTTTCTGGCTGTTCGGGAGCAGTCGGCTTTTTATGCCCGGTGTCGGCCGGTTTGGTAGACTTTCTGGGCATTTTTGGCTTCCGGTTGCGTTGCCAACCCCTCACTGGAAAATCAAATATTGCCAAACCGACGCTGACAGGTTTCCTTTCTTTGACTCGTTCTGTAACAGTATGAAGAAACTAGCATAAGATTAAGGTATTTCAGTTATCTTAATGAAGATCAACGCTCTTCCGTCGACTAGGAAATAAATAATGACGTACGCATAACGCTCAAATGTCGCGAATACTTAAATTACATGTATTATTTTCTTCATAATTTCCTGGACAAAAGTCATTTTAGTAATTAGACCAATTTCTTGTTTTAAAAGTTGATTATAAATATATATATATGTAAATACTAAGTACCTAGTTCCGGGTGCTGGTCTTGGATGGCTTCTTTTGGGGGCGGAGCTACTTCGTTCAACTGTCCATTGGTAATGGCGGGGCTACGTACAGTATCTGGTGCAAGGACATCAGCTAGGGGTATAGAACGAAAAAAGAAATATACGGAAATCGTCTATATGAAGCAACTTTTATACAAAACGTAAGTTTAGATATACGTCACCTGCTTGTACCGGCATTTTAAAAGAAAGACAATGTTAAGACCTCGTTTTACGCAAAGCAGACATTATAAAACGTCAAAAATGTCAATTAAATGGACATGAACGTCATAAATACTTCACTTCTACGATTACTTAGACAGTCAGACCATCTAACTTATACCATTAGAGACCAAAAAACTTTTTTCTGTACACATTAATTTCACAGTTGCATTTACTACAGTACCCACCACCAGGCTCGTAAGTTGCACCTCACCTGATACAGCACACGTGTCCCTGGGGACACAACCGACCACGCCCTCTCTCGCGGTGGAGCATACCGATCCCCAAGGACAAGAAAGGACCGCAGGAGGGAGCCCTTGTTCTTGATAACTCAGGGGACATACAGAATAAGCAGAAGACTCACAGGGTGTGGCACAGGACATCCCTACTCCCACGTCGGAGCAGCTGTCGGCAACTAAAACCAAGAGTTAGCGTCAATTTCACAAGAGTTTGTATTTCACCAACGTGTTTGGGTTAAGCTTAGTCGGCTAAACTCAGGTAACCTACTACCTGACGCCGGCTATATATGTCACGTCAGTATTTGGGCGTTTTATGAATGATTGGTCTGCAATAAATGTAGTTTACATTAATAAATGGGCTATTGTCATCAATTAAAACTTTCTTCATCTTCGCGCAGACAACCACATTTTTCTCCAAGTCTAGGTTTTAAAATCGAAAGCAAAAATACATTAAGAAACAGGGAAGCGACCTTCCTATGTATTTTGCAAATGCTGCTGGGGTTCAAGACTAAGTCGCTTTTATAGTACTGGGCTCAGTCTCTTTCACAGAGTGAGGAATATTACCCACTTCTTAAAAGGTTTGAAGAAAAATTATATAAAATCTAAAGGCCAACCTATTTCAGGCCACATAATCACAAAATATGAACCCAGGGGCAGACGCATTTTAATGGTGAGATAATAAAGAATTACTTGCCTTTTATTCCGTTCCCAATGAGGTAGCTGAGTGATCTCCTGAATGGGAAGAGAGCTGACCGTGACGCATACATCACCATCGCCATCGATAACGCAACGATAACCAAACACAGAACCAGCATCGCACAGCAAGCACCAACTTTGTTCCTCGGCCATCTTCCTCTCTTCTCACCGACCCCAGCCTTGGCGTTCTCCTCCGTGTCAACTCGGACTTTCAGGCATTTTTGGCTGCGAGACGCTGAGGGCGCCGTGCAAGCACAGGTGCCGGGCTGGCAGGTGCACGGGCGCGCTGCCGATTTGACGAGACCCTGGGCCTTCGAAAGGATTTCTGACAACTCGCCAGTGCGTAATAGACCACTTTTTGAATCTATAAAATAGCTCGCCATTTTCTCCTTGACGCGATTCCGCGTGTTGAACTTCTCCTCGTTAGAACCTCGGGCGTTGTGCGAGGACTGAACTGTCACCAACATTTATATGTCTCACTCTGAGGTAGGGCGACAACTGCTCAGCATGAGTACATCTCACTGGCTGTTCCGGGATAGCTCGATATCTTTGCCTAATGAGTTCATCTCCCTCTCTGTCACTCTCTCTCCATCCCTGTCTGTCCAGGCGCCCTGTTTTTAGGACCGATGTCTGCCGTAGAATTTACAAAGTCTTGGCATTTCTGATCAATTCTTTGGTACAATTTCCCGACCATTGACTGAGGCCCTTTGTGGATATAAACATTTGTTTTTTTTTTTTTTGCTCCTCTATTTTTTCTTCCTCTATTTTGCTTGTGATTTCCAAATATTTCAAATCTTACTTTTGGGTAAGGTACAAGAACAATTAGCATAAATGGGGGACAAGGGCGGTTTGACTTTAACGGATAGAAAAGTAGCTGATTTGTCTCTTTTTTGTTCTTATTTATGAGGTTTAGGGAAGAGAAGAGAGAGACGAGCTAGAGGCTACCTCCGAATTTAGTTATAGAACTAAAGAATTTAGCTAGCATTTGTATGAAAATCAAGCTAATTACAAAAAATAAATAAATAAATAAATAAATAAAATAATAATTATTATAAAATAAATAAATAAATAAATAAATAAATAAATAAATAAATAAATAAATAAAAGGTATGAATGATTCTTTACTGTTTGTGTAAATATATCAAACGTGTAACCATTGCGGTCTCTGGATTTTGGAAAAGAAATTATTTTGCTGCCTCTCCTGCCATTATATAGTAAGATCAGACTGATGAGATAGCTGTTATGTAAGATGACAGGCCAGTAGACGGGAGTAGGTGTTCACTGGGGTCGAAAAATAAAACGCCCTTTTGGCCGGAAACGATTCGCTCTTTATCACAATGTATTTAGGTTCTACACGTGTACGACATTTTCCAAGCTGGGTCAAACAAAGGGATAAAAAGGTCCACTCTTTCAGACCCCCTTTTTAAGATTACTGCCTTGATATATCTAATACTGGTTGGTATATCTAACGTATGCTTAACCTTCTCATACTTTCTAAAGCTCCCCCCCCCCCCAACTGCCCATTACCCACGGGGGGCGGCTGCATCATAAATCGAAAATTTCAACCAGGTTTTACCGATTTATGTATGGTAATATAACTAAAAAAGATTTATATCTCCTGAAACCTTGTCTCTTTTTTTCATGAATACCAAGTAATATACTTAATAAAAATCATTTCAGAAAATAAATGTAAAATGATAATTTTTTAAAATCAAATTTGTAAAAAAAAAGCTCAGCGTTTTTTGTTTTGTTTTTCACTCGCTTTCTCGCCCTTTCTATTCTACATAGTACTTCTGCCACGACGTGTTTTGGGCTAGAAGCGTATAGGCAACTGTTCGACGTCGTTTTTATTTCTCGAAGGAAGCGGTGGTAATGTAGAATTGTTTTAAAATATTTTTTATTTACTGTTCGCCCCAAAGGCCAAATTTCCTTAAGATAACGTACTCATCATTTTTGAAAAGGTTTTCTGCACATTTCGGCGAGACCCCCTTTAAATCCATTACTTATTTAAAAACAAAAAAGAAGACAATTTTTATGCTTTTATAACAAATTTATAACATAACACAAGGTGCATACATGTACATCAATTTGGGAAAACAGCAACAACAGAATATTGTCAAGTTCTTAAATGTGAGAGAATTGTAGATATCTATATTCATCATGAGGCTAGTTTTAATATTCCTGAGTGTCCAACTCACTTCTTTATTTTAAATGTCAATCATTTTAATCATTTAGCTATTCTCATGCCAAAGGTTCATAATATGGCAACCTTGGCACAATAAGTTCAGTAGAGGTCAAATACCAAAGAGCTTTATAGACAGTTTTGAAATATACCGGCCTAAGTGAACAATGAAGTTGAGATCTATGAGTTGAAAGAAGCATCTGGCCCCTATCGAAATCAATGTGATGACTATTATGCAGATATACTACAAAGTATTTCTTGTCAATTCGACGATTTAATGAATCCAGCAATGTTAACTGCTTATTCTTGTCCCGTTCTATAACTAAGGTCGACTTTCTTTGACCATCGATCCTACTTTTTTATGGGCTGTTGTTGGGTTTTCCTGTCCGTTCCTGGTCAACATCCACGCGGTTAAGGAGCGGAGCAGCTACTGGTACAGCGCCACCACCTATGGTAATGTGAAGTTAATCAAACACTTATTCAAATAAATATCAGTTAATGCACGGCAATTTAGACAACAGAATGGAATTGAGAAAAAAATGGTGTTCAAGAACACATATTTGAAATTTGCTACATAAATGAACAGAAACAAAGGTTTGATTTTTTGCTTTCATTATTTCACCACATTCCATTCAGAAGAAGCAAAATAATAAAACTGCTTTAAATTAAAAGCCATTTATAAACTTTGATACAAATAACACGTCACATGCCTTACCCGTATTATAGCAGGCGCCTTTATCCACGCACCCAACCACGCCCTCTTTAGGGGCGGAGCAAACAGTTCCTCGGGGGCATCGGAGAATGGCGGGGGGCAGTCCATTCTCCTGGTAACCTTGGGGACATACTGAGTAGACGGGAGATTGACAGTTGGCTGGACAGAACATCCCTGCTCCCAGGTCAGCACAGCTGACGATATCGGCTGAAATATAAATAATATTTATCAACATTTAGTTTTTAAAATAAAAATTGTTTAATTCTATAATTACAGCTCTTTGAACAGTCTTCGGTTAAGTTAACGCTTGGCTAAACATTGTTTAGTAACTCACTTTCTTAAGACAAACTATAATCTCAAAGTGAGCATTACTCTTTTCTAAAGCATTTTTGCCTACCATCTTACAGGGGTCTTCAACCTGTTACCAAATTTCCCTTAACACGACTTTGAGACACCTAGAAGACAATGTAACACATGCCTACCTTGAGCGCCGTATTCCCCATTTTCATAATTACAAGTGTAGGACATGTACGTCACTGTCATGATAAGCGGTAGCAGGAGCAGAGTAACCGTATACGTGTAGCACGACTTGAGGAAACCGCCCCCCAAGCAACTTTTACAGCATCCCTGCTTGTTAGCCTTATTTGGCTTGATTTTCAGTTTCAGAGGCCGTTGGTTCTCCGGGTCTGCACACCCAACGTCGCCCTCCATAGCGTAGCATTCGCTGTCAGGCTTTGGCGTGGAGCTGTCGACGATGCCGGTCATGTTGTCCCAGTCTGCTACTGTGGTCGCCCCGTGACTTGGTCTGGGGTCTTGGCGTGACTGCGGTGAAACGTGCGCCGTGTCCCGTATATATACCGGACAAAAGTGATTACTTGTCATCCAGTTTGTGAGACTTGTCACACAGATTTTGAACAATAGGAACTGCGTACGCCCTCCGCTAAAGCCTCCTGTGAAAAGCCTATAGTAGCGCTGCGTAAGGTTCCTACTATTCAAAATCTCCATGGTAAGTCGTCACCTGCGTCAGGCATACGATGCGCCTGTAAAAAGGTCTGATTTCCATGCGTAAATTTAAATACAATGCGGAATGCTAATGTTAGTAAATTAATTATTGAACTACAGTAGGTTGTTTTAAAAGCATATTCTACCAGTCTGTTAAACTATACTGTTTTCTCATTGACGACTTGGAGGAAAATGCAATGATCAGACTGACTTTAATCCATGCATCCTGCCATACAAATGTGAAACAAATGAATACTGTATTCTGTTGAAAACTTCTTTGTAAGAAACCTTAAGGTGTGCGTGAAATCAACTTTAACATGTTTGATTTTGTGTTCATCTCTTTGAATACCTTATGTCTTTATAGATGTCGCAGACTGTCGGCATTTTAATTTGCGTTTCATATTAAGCTTCAAGTGAAACTTGGCCCGGGGGGAGTCTGAGGAAGAAAAAGTGCGGGGGTGGGGGGGGGGGAGGGCGTCATTGACACTATAGGCAGATGGTGGAGTGGTAGGGATGAGTTATCGCTTAACTAATTATTATATTTTTTCACATATTCACATCAGGACGACAGAATTGTCGACAACTATAGATTATCTCAAATGGCAAGAATTCATAGCTACAGAGTTAGTTTTTATTCAGTCAACTGTTCAGCTGGTCAACTGTATGCTTCAATCCCTGATAGGTGCATTTAACAGCCATTATGGGTTTGCAATAATAATAATAATAATAATAATAATAATAATAATAATAATAATAACAAACAAAAAAGGAATTAAAAATGAATCTGAAAAGAAAAATTCAAAATTAGATAATAAAAATCCTTATTCTCAGTAAAACATTAGTCCTCCTTTATTTTAAAACAGTTTATTCAACCTTTTGCATTTCCATTCAATACAATTTAAAAACTAGGCGAAGATCGTTGTTGCCAGTGTAACAAAATAACCATTTTAAATTTTGTGTTACTGTATAAGCGCACATTCACATAATGGTGTTAATCAAACCCACACTGATGGAGATGGGGGCTTTATCTTAAGAATCCAAGCCGGTGTTGATTTACGTGGTATTTTATTCGTTCGATACTTTAGCAAAATGTGCAAAAATTGAATTATAACTTTCCAGTCACTTTGTAGGTTCTTTTCCTTTCTGATTCGAATTTCCTGAATAATATACGTTTAACCAATAAAAGGCTCCGATGTGCCATCCTTGAGCTGCGAAACGTACGTAAACTGACTGCTGTAAGACCGAAAGGTGGCGCCACCGTCAAGAGACACTCTAAGCCTCACTGAAACCGATTCGCCAACATCTGTTTTACCTAGAGACTTGAAGTCCGGTACTTGGCAAGAAAGCTGCTGGCCAGAAACGTAAGACCCAGAAGTTACTGTATTGTCAAAATTGCAGACGACACCCTGGCAAATAGCTTGCTCGAAGTTTCGGCCAAACACGTGCACTTTGGAAGAAGCTTTCATGGGACCTTCTCGAGGGAAAATTCTGGCGATGAAAGGCTCGTTTGTCGTGTTGCTGAAATCTATTGAGCAGGCCTCTCTCTTTATGTCAGCAATAAATTTAGAATAGGCCGGTTTCCACTTTTCGTTTATGGCAGATACTTTCTCTTTCGTTGTCATTGCGCTGTAGTGCAGAGAATTAATGGCAAGCTTCTTCAAGTCTGGCAGACGAAGTCCCCATCCCATAAACGCTTCGTACCAATCTGCAGTGAAATAGTTATAGCCAAAAGTTGCAGGGTCATCCGCACCAAGTATAACCGGTACGCCCATTCGAATGAAGTTAATCGCTGGGTGGTTCCGCAGATCGGCCGTATAGCCTAGCAATTGGTTACTAACTGGACACACTTCAATGGCAGTCTGGTGTTGTTTCAGTAAGTCTAGGAGATATGGGTGTTTGAAGTAGCCTAGTCCATGTCCGACACGCTTAGCACCGAGCAGAACCGCCTCGTAAGTGTTTTGTAGCGTTCCGACGGGGTCGTTTGCGTTCGAGGCGGTCAGCAAGTCATCCGGCCAGTTGGTCTCACCGTTGTGGAGGTAAAACGGGACGCGGCTTTCCCCCGTAGCATTGTCATAGAGTTTCAGGAAGTCCTCCATGAAGTAAAGGAGGGAGTTTCCCCTGTCTTCTTCTCCAACCATGTCAAAGCCTGCGATGTAGTTGGGGTACTTGAGATGCATACGCACGGCCTTCTCCATGTCGGCATACATTCCCTTCATGGTGTTACGCCTGAACGAATTTGCTATCTTACGTAGCCCAATAAAGTGGGGATTCTTTTTGATGAATGCATCGATCGTTTTAATACTTTGCTGGATTTCGAGCTCTCCGTCCGAGGTATCGATATACCTTTTTCCGCGTTTGGAGGTGTATTTTGGGTCAGGGTCTAGAACGTATAGGCGGCCGTAGATTGAGGTCCGTGTCTCCAAGTACTGAACGTTCTCCTCGACAGCTGCGTCCAAAATACCCTAAAATGAAATGATAATGGAATCTGAACATATGTGGAAAACAGCGTTGAAATAGTTTAATTTGTGTTTGTTTGGATTGTTCAAACAAGTTTTGTAAATCAGTAGTATTATATAAAAAAAGACAACTTTGTCCACTAAGCATTGTAGGGTGCTGGCTGGCGAGACTTGGGATGGCACCTTTGTGAAGAGAAATAGAACGATATGAAAAATTGGCTATTCTGAATCTGATTGTATTGAGGACGAGGTCCACCTCTCAGTTAACTATCCTTTTTCATTGATGAACGCACTGATCTTTTAAATTAGGTGTTTTAGACGTTTTAACAACAATTTTGACCTCTTTGGTGATCGGAGTAAGTTTTTCTATTTGATTGACAGTGAAAAGATGATTTACTTTACAGCCAAATCCTGTTCCCGATTTTTTGATATAACGGTTTACTTTCAATTCATACGTTTTCCAAATAACTAAAACTTATACTTTGTCTACAATGGCCTTGATTAGCAGGGTATAAGGTATATACTCTTGTCCCCCTGCCCAAGTATATAACCAAGCAGCGTCTCTAATCATATCCTATATCTCCGCACAACCCAAACCTTCTCAAAAGTAGGCTATCCGGTGTCCCTGGACATGAAAACGGACACATCTGTGTCTCCTCGTGTTTTCCCACACGTATACCAACTAGACGTGACAGTTTCTTAAGGTAGATAGCGTGTTTTGCCAACACGTTGATGAGTTCATATCCAGGACAGACACTTTTTTTTCTTTTTTTCTGTTGGTGCCATCATCATATATGTCTATGTGCCTGTAGCCATATTGGATTTAGCATTTAGGATTTTGAATTTTATGTAAATAGAGCAATACGTGACTTTGCAATTATATTAAAAATCTCAAAATATGAATATTTAAGTCTTGAAAGGTACAATTGTGATGTTTGTATCAGGCATTTTGTTATTTGTCAAATAAAAACACAAAGAAATTAAGGGACAAAAGAGCAAAAAAGTAAACCGCTCTTTTCTATTTAGGCCCTGATAATGGTCAAGTTACCTGCAGGTACTTCTCCTTTATGTTGGCATTAGCGATGACCTTTGACCCTAGTCTGCTAAACATGGGGTTCGTTTCCTTCCATCTCTGACCGCTATTAGTTGGGTTTTCTTTAGCATACTCCGTCATGGAACCCAACAGGTGCATGTGTGGCAGAAGTTTTTCTTTGGTGTATTTTGGATTTCCTTTCACCTTTTCCCATCCTTGACAAAAAAATAAAATAAATAAATAAATAAATAAATGAATACAAATAATAATAATAAAATAAAAATAAAAAATAAAAAATAAAAACAATCCTAACACTGTGTATCTTTTTCCCATATTTAGTAACATCTTAAGGAAACATCTACAATATGCATTTATTGTTATGAGCGAAAATATGGCCCCCTACTAGTACTACTATTTAATGGGCTCTAAACCCCACCCCTTGCAGCCACTTCGACATTTTAAACAAGTAAAATGATGAATTTGTGTATTTTGGTGTGGTCGCCATTATCACATTTATCTTACATGTACCAAATGATAAAACTGACAAGTTAAACGAATGAAATTGTATTGTCCAACGCTATATTTTGTATGTTTTGTTTGAAGTATTTTAAGTCATATGTCTATAAATCTCTTAAGAATCACTGATACTACATGTAGTATGAAATGTATTACCTTGTGGTGGGTTAAGAAAGAAATCCAGGCGCCATTTATAATTATTAGAGACATTTACAGCAACGTAGAGATGTTCATAGTCGTCCGAGCTATAAACGATGTCAAGCATTTTGCTTTTGCTGAGAACATGGTCTAAAAAAAAATCACATACGATGGTCGAACATATGGTATCGCGTAGAAGTCACTAGTTGGTTAGTAAGATTTTATCTTAATCCCAAATAATAATAATTCTAATCCAGACATGATTTTAAATAAATTTTACCAGTTGCGGAAAATAGACATCTACAAGATGACAACACAAATTTTTCATAAAGTGGATCATGTAATTTGAAAGCTTGGGTACGCTGTTAATATTCAATTATGTGAAAGGATTTACTCACTTTCATGCAAATGCATGTTTCCACCCTTTGGGAATTTTTTCAAGGTTTTGAAAACTTTTGAGTTGACGATATGATCGAGGACGCTTTCCAATCCTACAGAAGGCGGGAATCTGTCTTTTGTAGCCATGAACTCTTGCCATTTCAAGTATTCCAGGTAGTTATCGACGATCTTTTCATCCTGGCGTATGAAATATAAATGAATTAGTGAATCATAAACAGAAAATACCGGATAACATCAACCCTATATCGATGCCCATATGTTAAGCAACACCTTGAATATTTCAAAACATTTTAGCACATGTACCACGGCCATTGTTTGAATTTGGCACTTGGGCTGTTCGCTTTTCTTAAATATTTTATAATATTTTGATATATTTAAGTTGGATATATTTTATTACGAAATATCAATTATTGAGAAATCAACAGCGGCTGTTCTCTCTGTAGTCAATGGGCCAACCCCCATCCTCCCTTGGGGATTTTTATGGTGGTGTTTTTTGGATAAAGGGGAGTCCCCCGCTTCAGAATATGATTGTCTGCCATCTGGTTATCGCTAATTATAGGCTCCAGGACCGCCGTTTTGAATATTTAATTTGCTAAAACTTTAAGTTCAATCACAGATATTTTTCATTTAATGACCATGCGTGATACACGTAGAAAGGGTTTTGGGAGTCAATAAATTCATTTTTAGTAGTTTAAAGAAGCTAAAATGAATTGTTTTCAAGTTAGCAATGAATTTATGTCTATCAGCATCTTATATTATATTTTAAGCCATCTTTCCAAGTGTTTTGCCCCTTCTATGAAAAGAATGTTATTTCTTCTATTCAATGATATTTACAAAGGATACACCATATTCTAATCATCCCTGATGTTTGGTGCGTAATTACATTCCAAGCCTTGCTGTTGCCAGCTACTGGTTATCACTGTAACTGAGGATATTAAGTATCCCTTGTGCTGACCAATTTATCCACTACTCTTGTTGCACACAGACTGTTATTCCAGCTCAAGTATCAACATTTTCTCTTATATTGCTGCTTGTTTCTTAGAATTGCAGGCAGGAAGACAGCTTTTAAGTTGATTCATGATGAAATCCTCAGCAGAATCAATACAAATTATAATACATGTATATTGAAAACAAATTATCTATTGCCAGGTAAGTTTTGCGTCTATTAAAACATATACATACTGTACATATAGGTATACATACATAAAGAAATGTATTCGGTAGTTTATTTTGAGAAAATAGCCAAGCTCCAATCATCATTCCAAAAAAAGGTGCATAGTTATCTTCATGTCGAACTTCTTTAAAAGAACATATCAAGAGGGCAAATTACCAGACTCTTAGCTGGAATATGGCATCATCATCATCATCACTTATGAAAAGTTCATTGTTCTCCTACACAACATGCCCCCTGCACAACGTGTTTCCACTCCCTCTTATCCTGCGCTTTTCTCACTGTATCTACCATGGTCATCCCACATGTTTCTTTAATGTTGTCTCCAAGTCTGGTCTTCGGCCTCCCTCGTCGTCTCTGCCCATACACTGATCCCATCAAAAGTCCTTTTTGGAGTGAGTTATCTTTTCTAAGTTGATGTCCAATGAATGAAAGTTTCTTTTTCTGTAAGATGTTAAGAAGTCTCTCCTCAAAGTTGATTTTGTGTAGAACTTCTTCATTGGTTTATTTTCCTTCCAGCTGATACTGAGGAGTCTCCTGAAGCACCAGATTTCGAAACTCTCACACATTTTTCGATCGGAAGCTTTGAGTACTCAGCATTCTGATCCGTAGGATGGGATTGTATTTTGGGGGTCGTGATGCTAGACGTGGGCCGTAATTTAATATATTATTGAGTCGATGTAGATTCAGTATTATTAATTATTAAAAACGTGATACGATGTTTATATGAAGGCCTATATATGACATAATGTATTAAAATGAATTTACGGCAGCTGCATGGTATATATGTTGCCATGGGTAATAATTAGTTCTAGCCTATTAACATCAAAAACAGTGCCGCATAATCCACCTCAGGCTTGTTTTACATTCAAACATTAATTTAAAACAGTCCTGACCAATCTTGCGCGGTGCGAATTGTAGAATCTTCGGACTGTCGTTACCGCAATAACCAGCATGTGATGAAAGCCTAAATAAACTATTACAATGAATACCCCACCATCATCTATGATGCTCTATTGATCATTGCTTCCGGAAAAGATCAAATAGACATCAATACTGTAGCGAATTTTATCAAAATATGAAAAACGGTGCTTTAAAGTAAAAGTGATAATTGTTTAGTGTCTATAGTGAGCTAGCGTTGAATCAGCGTCACTTTATGACGGCATTTTGATGTGGCTGGGTCAACAGTAAGTCGATGTTGAATTTAGGTAGTTCAACGGCCCAATCTGTTTTCAACGTTGATCCGATGTCACTATGCCTGCTGGGTGTGCTTTTGTTAATCATTACATGTACAGAATGTACAAGTTTACCTAGCTGTCGGTAACATTTGCTTAAAAATGAGAAAAAATACCTTTCTTTAGATCGCTTGGGATAACAAAACTTCAACATAAAAGATAAAAATGGTCGAATAAATATAACTGTAGACTTACATCAGTAAGATCCATCGCGTGCCCAGCAAACATCCACTCTTTGGCCATCAACTCGTCTCTTTGGCGGGAAAACTCATACTCGCTCATGAAGGGCGTTTTTGCCCCGACACTAGCGAAAAATACCACGAGGCAAACGCAAAAGGCAAGCATGTTGCACCTTTACTGGGTGGATCGCTGTGCTGTGAGGAAATGCACAGACTGCGTCAGGATTTATCTACATATGAAGATTATATAACCTACTTGGATTATAAAATAATCCGATATCATGTACCTTAACAAAGGTCGCACAATGTTAATATAACGCACTGCACCCTGTGGTAACATACTACTTCGGTATTTTAAGACATCTCAGATATTAAAAAATATTTAAAATAAAATTGCTCACGAAGCAATTACTTGCGAAAGTTAAAACAGTAGATAAAATAAACATTTATGCACCTGCTAGCAAGAATGTATTCTTGGTGCAAGACATAACAGAGAGTCGTAGATAGCTTAGTCCTATGGACCATAGTAAATTTATTGCCGCATTTTAATGTGCAATCTGTGACCCAGTACACACGTCCCTTTTTTCAGCTTTTTATATGTATTTATTGATTTGGAGGAAATCATCGTTGTCCTTATTTGTTTACTTTGCGTAGAACTTTCCCACTGTCGTCCACACCATTTTATAACTAAAAAGCTTTTCACTGATAGCAGTGTTTAATTGAAAACAAAAATCCCTTAAAAAGTTCAACATATCACTTCACAGATATGGAGTAGAACTTGAACATACCACAGTGCCATTCTTTGAAAAGAACTGGCAAACTTTACTTATTTATTGTACCATCCATCCCAGTATCTCAGCACAGAGTAAATATTTTGAAAGTAAAAAGGTGCAATGTGTCTGGAGGACTTGACGTACGGTTTAAGTAATATTGTTAATCTATCAATCCATCGTACTGGCATACATATTCAAATTATTTAAACCCCCCCCCCATGTTGCAAAAAATATCTCCTATACTCAGAATGTTCAATCAACGTGTAAGTCCTAAAACAATATTATTATTATTATAGTATTTATCTATTTAATTAATTAATTTAATTGATTGGTTTATTTATTAACTTCCTTTATTACAAGACAAAGGAACCAAAAGTTTTGTATCAATGACAAAAGTTTGTCAGTTACAAACTGGAGTACTCCGCAGTAAGCCTTGCAGATTTTGAGCGATACCTTAAGTTCATGTTCACACTGGATTTTCACTAAATAAAAAATAAACATCAATGGCTATCAGCTAACTGCCCTGCAGCCTTGTTGATACAGTAAATAATACGCTGTGGAGAATTGTTTATTGTGGATCTCATGATTCATTTCCCTTTTTATTAAACACTGCTTCCTTGACTTTATCTTGATCGTTCCTATGCTTATGACAGCACAATATTCATTGCACATGGTATATTGACACTGGTACACCTTTTGGTGGAATGGCGAGTTCCTTTCCCTATCCTCATTTGTAATCCACTTTTCTTGTTCACTGTTAACCCAGTGCGTGATGTGCTGGGTTTTGTGGCCCCAGAGCTTCTCGAAGTAATTTTACTTCTCGCCAGAAAACTGACATTGCCAAAATTCCGATTAAGGAGTTGGCCTGCTGGACACACAAAGTATTCTGTGTGAAAAAAGCTGTAAATGGAGATTTTTTTACCTATTGCAACTTACACGTATCAAAAATGGGCATCAAAATAAAAGCCCAAAACTAAGAATTCTTGTTCAGTATAGCTAGAATGTCTGCATTGTTTGTTGTATCTATGGGTTTACTTCCATCAAAGTCCTGAATATTGACATCTGCTCCCGCTTGCACTAATAGTTGCACTATTGATATATGCTCACATGATGCAGCTGTAATGAGAGAAAATAATAATAATAATTTTTAAGTGTTCCATAATTACATAATATTCAAAATGAACAAAAGAAACACAATGGAGAAAAAGACATATTAAAAAATGTAACTCTTACCCTTAAAATATAGATTATTGTAATGATAATCTTTTAAACGATCTTATCCAACCCCTAAAGTTTTCATGGACAGACCTAACAATGAATAAAACTTCTAAGAATACCACAGTGCTTAGCATTAGGCCAGGCTCTAAATCTTTGGACTAACGATACTACTTACCATAATGTAAAGGGGTCTGACCATCATTATCCTACAAAATGACATAAAAATTTAACAGCAATATGAATACCATTTTCACATCACAAGGCTTAATCAGGAGACATATAAAAACAAGAAAAGGTTTGGCAAATTTGCCCCATTTAAGTTCATTTCACTCCTTAATGTGCTAGTAATTATAACTGAGGAAATACTTATTCATTCTCATATCAGCCCCTGTCTTTTCATACACATGCATACACAAACCCATGTGTGCAAACAAAATCACTCATTGGTGTGACTGAATTGCACAATACACCGCAATACAGCGCAACACAGTGCAATACACTTGAAAAATCAAATCCAGTTGCAATTACTCAAAAGAAATGACCATTCCCAGCAAAGTAGGGTGATATAAAAACAACCTATATTACTAGGTAAGTAATATCGTTGATATAACTTAACAAATCAGCAAGGCTTTTATATTGTCCAGTTGGCAGCCATGTTGGCGAGTGGCTCTTCTTGGATATATTACTGGCCAAGAAGAGCTACTCACCAACATGGCGGCTGACCAAACAATATAAAAATTGTGCCGATTTGTCAAGTTGTATCAGCAATATTAATTACTATGTACTGTATTTTGCTTTTATATCACCCTATTTTATTTGAGATTACCCTTTCCTGTGTTTACTTGCAACTGGACTTGTGTTATCAAGTGTATTGCACTGTATTGCAGTGTATTGTGCAATTCAGTCACACCCCTCACTCATGCCTTCAATGCCACAATGTACCTTCTACATTTAAACTCACCAGTTCATTGAGATTTGCTTTCTGTTTAAGTAGATATTTGACAATTTCTTCATTCCCTCTATCACAGGACCAATGAAGAAGGCACATTCCCTGAGAAAATTCACAAACGAATACTTAGGTATGTTCCTCAGTGTGTCAGTGAAAGTGAGAAAGCAAGCTTGATAGAAGCTAAATCAATACATGGACATCAGTATTACAGAGAGATGGAAGAGATGAAAAAGTTACATAATTATTTTAATCTTCATGTCAACAGTAAGTTAACACGTGTTTGCTTTGTTCCACTCCCAAAATGCTTTAACCTTTGGAAAATTGTTATCATTGAATATGTGCATAAATATCTCCCACTGTCATGCTTAGTGATACATATTACTTTTTAGATCATCCTACTGCTGCAAAATTTATCAGAAGACAATGGAATTCATATTTACCTCTCCATCCTTTACATTAATATCTGCCCCTTCTTTTTTCAAAGATTTTGTAAGTTTCTCTAAATCTCCCTCCTTACACCAATCAAATATTGTCTTCTCTTCATCTTTGAGATCTGAGTCTGGATTGGGCATGGTAGAAACTACAACACCACCAAATGCACTGCCTGACTGCTGGGTTGAAGTATCACACTGGAATCAGACATATCAATAAAGAAAGGGGAAAAAATATAATGTTCTTACAATTAGTACTTTTATTCAACATAATAATACAAAATCTCTTGTAACAGAAGAGGGGACTAACTAGTCCGAGGGTCAAATATGGAGACCCACTACAAAGCTTGCCATCTAATCCACTGAATAGATATCCTGTGGGGAAGCATTCAAATAGGTCAGCCATGTTTGAACCTTGGACTAGTTAGTCACCTATTCTGAATGGGGCCTTTTATTACCTATAATTTGCTACACTTTGAACAAAACTTTAGAATAAAATAAATAAATAAAAAGGATTTGGCAACCTGCATTAATGTAAACAAGCATGTTAGTAAAAACTCACATCAAAAGTATTAAGTAACATGTATATACAGTATTTTTCATACCTTTTCAAGCCAATCTGGTTCTAATCTTGTGAGTTCATTTACATATTCCTGCATTGCATCTTGTTTGTTTTTCTGACCAAGCTGTTTCCAAGCCTCCCTAATGGATTAAAATTCAATACTAATTACACTATAAAATTTGTTTACACTAAATTTCACTTTTCCTCAAAACACCAGGGCTTTGGGACAATAAGTAATGTTCAGATGATTTTTTTCTTTATTTCTGGTGATAAATAAATAACTGACAACACTATGTACATGAGAAATATAATGTGGCAAAGTATCTATGTTACAATGTATATACTTACCATTTTTGTTTGCCTTGAAAATCAAAGAAACCTGGTTTAGATGTGTTGCATGAACCTTCCTTAGTCTACAACAGTTTGAAATATAAATGAATCAATTTACAATGTACTTCTCAGGGCATATATACATAACGTAACTGCTAATAACTAGAATATGAATAATATAAAGCAATGTTGTTTTACACTGTGCACCTAATACCACTGACTTGATGCTCACAATGGATAATATACATGTACGGATCACAGCAAACACAAATATAGTAAATCTTATTAAGTTAATGAAATACGACTACCATGCCATGAATTCTGGATGGTTAAACTAAGCCCCAAAGATCAAATATTGTAACTCGTAGCACATCAACTAGCAGTGGCTCTGCACAGCCCTGTGAGACTTTGCATCAGTTTTTGGCCTTACATGCTAGCTACTGGTTTTAGGTTGGCTGGAAGAAAAGGAGCCTAAGAGGAATAAACTCCCAAACTGATGCGTACGTGAAGTGGCATTTAACTTCAAAAGGACAATAATTAAATCGCAAATAATATAGTATATGAGACTATTTCTTCTATATATACCTAGCATGAAACTAGTAAGGCCGAAAACTAAACTACAGTAAGGATACCTGCCGTGTAAGTTGCCGTACTTGTGAAGTGAATTTACGAGGAAAGAATGTAAACATATGTTACCTGTTTAAACCGTGCATAAAAATAGAGCAATCTGTCACTGTCTAGTTTGCCAGCAATATTTTTGAGAAAGTTGGCAGCTTTATCAAATAAATCTTCCAAGTCGGTACCTGGATCACCAGCCATGTTGTATCGAAGTTAATTCTCTGCCCTTTTCGATTTCGTATTTAGGTACTTTACATTTTTGCAGTCGTTGTTGTCAACTTTAATCCTCGTGATTCCAGATAAGAGAACTCTACATCTCACTATAAATGCCTATAAAGAATACCTCATTTAATTAAAAATGCCTTCTATCAATTAAAAACACGACATTCGCATGTCACATTTTACGACTTTGACCTGTGTGGGTCGTCCTGATTCTCGAAGAAACCCAGAAACGCAAGTCACAAGTATTCCATAAATGCTTGAATGAGAAAGTGAAAGTGACTGGAGTTTGTTGCTGAAGTTATGTTTATGTGTGGTTTCTCATATTTTGCCTGTGAAGAGAATCTGGGTCTTTGTAGCACTTTGCATTCAATGTAGAGCTATGGTACGTTGGTTTGTCTGGATTTACAGGCTAATCACTAATGTAGGCGTATGTACTTAGCGCAGCGTTTAAGTCCGAAAACTGAAGTAATTAAGTGTTTGGTGTGTCGCACGGGCCCTGTTGGGTCTGTTTGAGCGTTCTGATTACAAATTGTTTCCTACTTGTACTACACGCTCTGCAATCCAAAGATAAACTATAGATCAATGATGCATTCATTTAATGCAGACTTACATATGATTCCTTAAGGCAAGTTAAACACATATGGTCTACTGGTATAATAATTCAACTGAAAATGTTACAGAGTTCTAAGTTTGCCATACATTTAGTAGCACTGTTGTAAATGATCTTTACAGAGTTTATAACTATTTACTGTTGTGAGCTGTTAAGTTTGCTTATCTGTTTCATACTGTCTTTCCTTTTTATCCATTTGATCTGGTTGTCTTTTTTTTTTCTCAGGGCTGTTGTGCAACTTGCTAAAATTTGGTCAGCATAAATATATTACAGAAGAGAACAAGCGCATGCTGGTATATCCATGGCAGCTGAACAGCAGTAATCCCAATAGCTTCAGTTTAATAGGAACTATTTTAGAGGAGAATGTAAATTGACCAGGAACCTGTGCTTCAGCTGCTACCAGTAATTTCACAGATAGAATAAGTGCCCTTGGGTTCTCATACTGATGTACACTGCTGGTTTTCACATGGTGAATTTGAGGAAGAAGGACGTCCCTCATGTACTTCAATGTTCCCCGTGCCAAGGAGAGTACGTTCATTCACAGGTCCACATGCAACATGTTTGCAGTCAGCAGAGACCTATGCCCTGCGCTTTACACAAAAGAACAACAGCACGCCTTTCGATTTCTTCCTACAGAAGGCCCTTTTCTTCTGTCATCTGCGTTTTATGATATACTTTACCTCAGGGATACTCGCCATGATGGCTCTAGTGACTGTGACTCTGTTGTTTGGGCTAGGATTCCTGTTCATACATTTATTCGTAAGGTTCCAATACAAGTTGACTATATTTCTGATCCTTCTGGGGAGGCAGAGGTTGAATTTTGATGAACTCAATAACTTTGTTATATATTGGTTGCAAGTAGCGGTGCAGTTCATGGGGGGATTTGGATGGATAGTGCTACTATATGTTGATATGTGAATATATACAGTGGTGAAAGTCTGCACTGCGAGATAATTAAGCAATTAAACAAATAATAAAAGTAGGTCCATAGTTGGCATGCTGCTTGACATTTCAGTTAAATTTCCATCATTTATTTGCTAAAAAATGCAGCTGGTTGAATCAAAATATGTGCTTCAAATTGATGTATCTAATAGCAATTACTTTTAATGCCCATAAAATCCCGCAATCTGTATAGTCTAAGGTCACATTGCTGGTACATAAATGGAAACCTCCTGTCTGGATGGTCAAGTTGCTTGATAATATATGTAAATGTTTTTTTTTTTCATCAAGAATCATTTTCCACCATTTCCAATAAAATGGAGTGTCTTAAGTTCTTTTAATACATTCAGTTCTTGATATAGGTATTTGATGTTGAACATGACTGGCACAGTTGTCTCTTGCCAAGTAGCGTAGTACTTTGTTGCTAAAAAAAAAAATAAATAAAATGCTAATAATTATTTAACTATAATTGATGCTGTAGTGATGATAACGTTGAGTTGAAGCTTTCAAACATTTACATGTATTCACCGACTAACTTTACGTACAAATACAAGAGTATTTTTATCCCATTTTCCTTACTGGATCACTCCTTTACTTATTTTCTTTACATTATCTTCTGTGTAATCACAAAAAAATTCTATTCTACTTTTTCCATTCCACCATTCAATACTTTCTTCTTAGGCAATGTATGTGAGGTTTATTTTCAATTAAAAATCAAAATACTATTTGCATTTCATCTTGCTTGGATCGTACCCAAATTCAGTTTGCATGTGGATGCTAAACACGTGACAGATTTTACAATTTGATTGTGGAATTTACCAGTCAAATAAAACTATATGTGACTTTTACATTTCCTATCTTTTCCTAACACGAAAACGACTTCCACACTTCTCGACTCTCAAATAAATTTAGGTAGATGCTAGGCCATTCGTTAAAATGGCCCAAATTGGTCAAAATAACTTTTCCCGTTTCGTGTATGGAAATTACTTATCTACATATTAATGCAATAGAATTAAACACAGAGCAAAATGTTCCCTTTTTGTTATATCATTCACTGCCCCACGCGCTTCTACTTTTAAGCTCCGCCATTTATCGCCAATTTAACCTCTTTGTTTATTTGGTGTAAAAAAGTTCCAATAAGTAAGTAACTCTGTAAGCTAATTCAGATATTAACAGGTAAATTGTAGTAATTATAGTTGTGATTAAATATATATTAAAACGGTGTTGATAGTAGTTAATTTGTGGTAGATCTGCTTGTATTCGAAAACACAATTTTCACCTCAAAAACGTACCTGTTATGTCATCAGCTCGAAGTACTTTTGATTTGACGGCATTTCTCGTAAAATGAAAATATTAATTTCGAATTCTACATTAATTTCTACTAAGGAAATAGATCCTCACGTTTCTATATATCTACCTCAAACTTACACTCAAAACTCGATGGACTTTTACTTATTTGATCTTACTTTACTTATTAAGTGAAGACGTCAGCCTATTAACTTAACAACATGCACGTGCAACCTTTCTTCAAATGAATACGTCTACAACATTGATTTTAAAAGCCTATGATAAAAATTGCATACAAATTATTGTAGTTTTAGTCTTGTCTCTACATATTTTAATTTTTAATTCACCTAAACCAGATTGAAATTCAGCAATGATAAATAAAAAGTATTCATATGGTTAACTGTATTGAATTGTTAAGCTGTTACCATCACCAGCACAGACCGTAGATGGTTAGCCAAACTTTGCTGCAATATTTAAAAATTAATAAATGAAGAGAAATATATAACTGAGATATGAAAAATCATGAGCTGGTCTTTACGAATAATATTGAAGTAAATATAAATAAATTTTCATATAGCCTGTGGCACAGTCTGAGAACGTAATGTGTGATTTTAAATATCAAGTGCGTTTAAGGGTACATATTTGGCGGGTTAAACGTCAAAAGGGCACTTTTTATATGAAGTTGCCTTCAGACGTAATGCTTGAACGGTTTTTAAGGTAATGTCCGCCATTTCCTTCTATAGAAGAGACGAATGACCATTTTTTATCTTGGTCGATTGAGCATGGCATTCTCTCATTCATTCTGTGCCTGTTTACGCCTCGATTAAACGAAACACCAAATTAATTTCTTAAATTCTGAAAAACAGCATCTTTTTGAAAGGGCACTCCGATACCGGACAGTTGAAACTATTTCTTCACGTCATGTACCGTGTACACAAATTTATAGCGAATCGGGTGAGGGGGTGGGGGTGGATGCGGCATCATTTCAAGAACTTATATCTTCCAGTAGGACATAGTCTGACTTGGATCTCGGCCTGTAAATGAATAATTTAAAATTATCTATTCAGTTATACTCGGATTACAGTTGTTGACAGGGACTCTTAGCTAGAGTAGCAGTTTATAAATATTTGCCCGGGGTGTCCTTGAACGCGTTGCTTGCACCACATATGGCAACAATTGTTACATGTTAAACTACGCGTACACATTGAAATAAACTGAAAAGTCAAAAACTGCAGAATGCAAACTTTCCAATATTTATAAAAAATTAAGCATTAAAGATGAGCGTTTTTAAAATAACATTTTTATACCAAGATACGTCCATCAGTTTGCTTCAAGGTTTGGGATTGGTGTGTGTGTGTTTTGTAAGCAATCGTTTTCTTGATTATTTTCGTCATTGAGTAACCCAGAAAAAAGAAATGACCCTCCTTTTTTTCCAATTTAACAAGTCGACGTACGTGTCGCCGTTTTAGAATTTTTTATTGCACATTATCCAATTACGTTTTTATGGGAGCTCAGAAATATCTTTGAACAATTTGTGATACATGTAGAAGTGGTTTTTTTATTTAGTCACGCTACATTTACCACTTGTTATGCCTCCAGTGTCTCTGCCATAGAAGATAAGACAAAAAACTTATGAGACTTGTCATAGCCGTTAAAATGGATTTCTTCGAGCTGGGCGTGCCAAAAAATAAAAAAAAAAAAAAAAAAAAAACATCCCCGGCACACAAGGCAAATATAGCTTTAGGCTAGGGTTCAAAAAGGGTCTGTCTTCGTGATTACCATCAAGGCGGGTCCCATTCAATAAACAGTGTTGCCCAGTTTCCTTACGGTAGGTTACACTACCATAAGTGTTGAGATTATGTCCGTAATTTTAACACAGTAATGGAAAGAACAAAATACTCAGTAAGTTACAACTGCCGCTATCTGAATTTTAAAGATACATATCAACTTTTTGCCACAAAAGTCAACCAAATGCCAGCATATAGTTTCAAGTAGTATAAGTAAGAGAATTGCCAAAAGGCATAGTTTAATTGTCCTGAAAGTGATGTTTGAAAGGATTTTTCTGCTAGCATTCTATGCTGTATGTCAATGAAGCAGAAAAGTAGGTCACAAAAGTAGGTTAAATTTATGACCAAAAATTTAAAGAAAGGAGCAGTCTTAAGGTCTTTTACGGCTGATCGAGTGATCTATGCAGTTTATCCCTCCGCATGTCAAATTTATTGGAGTCATATAAGAAACTAATAGAAGTGGTTTATATGTGTTACTGGGAATCCACGCTCCACCGATGCTCGGTTCGTATGTACCTTTAAAGGTTTAAAAAATATTTTACTCTCATTGTTATTAATATTTTCTCCAAAACTTCCTGATATCAGTCATAAGCATTTGCGAGTATATTTCCCTCTGTTAGGAGTTTACCTAAAGGGACCCTTATATATTTTACACTGTATACGTTCACCAACTTATTTTCCATATGTTTAGTGTGTATTATACTTAAATTTGTCTAATTTATTTTCCTCTACGTTTTTGGATTTCACTTTCCATATTTTATTTTAGTAATCGGATTAATTGTTATTTTATTGGATACATATCCGCATCGTTACATCTTTTTAAGTCTTAGAAATATTTCCAACCAGCTAGTCTCCCCCTTTTCATCTCCTTTAAGTGCATACTGACCAGGAATGTAATAAAACAAATTTTCAGCCACAAAGATTATTTATTACAACTGGTCAGGGTGCTCGTGTGTTAAAACACTTTATCGCTTCTCGCCTCTCACATCTGCCTTCACTCTCCAATTTAATCTGAATAGAACAAGCAGATGTGAGAGTTCTGAAGCAACAACAAGTTCACGAGCACCGTGACTGGTAGTAACAAACAAAAAAAAAAAAAATCTACATGGCTGAATATATATTTTTTTTATCATGGAGATACACATGTAGGTATTTTACGGGTCGACATAGAATAACATTTTAATAATTTTAATAATTCACAAAAATCTATGACTGCTTATTTGTTCACAGAAGAGTAATTTGAATAAAAAGAAGGAAATGGGTTGAACGTATCNAACAAACAAAAAATCTACATGGCTGAATATATTTTTTATCATGGAGATACACATGTAGGTATTTTACGGGTCGACATAGAATAACATTTTAATAATTTTAATAATTCACAAAAATCTATGACTTCTTATTAGTTCACAGAAGAGTAATTTGAATTAAAGGGAGGGGACAAATGGTTGAATGTGTTAAGGATAGGTAGTTATATCCCGTGTAGTTTTGGAGAGACACATCTACAAAACGTCAAGATACCAGCACGGTGTATCCGAAGGGGCATCTGAAATATCGATTTTGGATCTTTTTCCTCAGCTACACAATTTTTTTACGGGTTGTTTTGACAGCTACCGTGGTAACTGAGAAAACGATGAAACCACACTAATTCATTGGTTTTCGTGTAGTCACCGAGACAGAAATTTAATCCAACTTGTAGAAAATTTGGGTTCTCTCGTTTAGAGTCCCCGTTTGAACCTCACAACCACCACGTGATATTTGGAAACTGGCGGCCATTCGGCATACAAATAGTCGAGGACTGACTTGTGCAGTCACAAACAAAAGCCAGAATTCTTGTGGAAGAAGTGAAATTGATTTTTATAGAAAATTTAGTTTTATTCCGTTTTGAATACTTACATGTATCTGTCCCGGGCGAATGTTGTTCATCTAAAGGCAACTAGCAAGGATCCTTCCAGCTACATGTTATTAGGAGAATAGAAAAGACAAATCGGCTTTCGGCATAAGAAGAGAGTCGACAAGCGCAGTAATTTGGGTATCAAAATGCGACACGACTGTTTTCTTGTCAATTGTGTATTGTTTATCCGTTTGGTTATCGGTCAGCCTACTACAGATTGCGAAAGTCGTTGGTCCGAAGCATTTGATATAAAGAAATGTGACGACTCAACAGAAGTATTAAAAGGGAAAGAGGAAGGATTTACAATGAACGAGGTGCAAGTAAGTAAGCAGATTATAGAACATTTTCCAAAAAAGTCAAGAAAATTATATGTAAAAATAATGCTATTATCAAGCAGTATTTTCGTAAAGTTAGATATGCTTTTTATTTATTATATTAATTAATTTTTTTTTTTTTTGGGGGGGGGGGGGTTAAGGCAAATGATTCTCAAGGCAAATTCCCGTCCCACGTCGGATATAATCAAGTAGCGTATCCAAAACTTAAAATGTAAAGAATATGTCAAACATGCATCTGAGAACATCAGACCATGGGTCTTTACTCGATGAGCAGGTACAATATCCTATTTGTCTATGGGCTAAACTGTCGTGCTCTTGATTACAAATTGGACGGTAATCAATAAACCTGGGGCGGGTTCAGGATTATTTGAAAGGGGGGGACGCCGATGCGAAGCCGTCCCTAGTAGCCTTTGGAGCGGGGTTCGGGGCCCGCTGGTAGGGCCCGAAATTTTTTGGTATTTTAGAGGGCGAGCGGTAAAATTCTAATTTCAAGAGGGGACTATTGGCGTGATTTTTTTTCAGAAATCGAAGGGGGGGTGGGGTCAGGACCCCCTGACACCCCCCTTAAATCCGCCACTGATAAATTGTTCAGACAAGACATTAAATTTTAGCCAATTTGAATGGTTAACCAATCTCATTTTTTGTAAAGAAAGTCGTTTATTGAGATATTAAGGATATAGTCATTACTGACTTTTACAGGTGGCAAGGGATTTGCTGCTGTAGCCTATTTCACACGGTGCTTATTAATCGCTTTTGGTTGCAAACATTTTGTTCCATTTTTCCTTTCTTTATCATCATCACCATCATGATGATGATGATGATGATGATGATTATTATTATTATTATTATTATTATTATTATTAGTGGAGCTCGAAAGCTTGGTTTGATTAATCCCAGCATTGATACAAATAAGCTAAGGACGTTTACGGGCAAACGTACTTAAACAATCGACGCTTCTTGTAGGGAAAGTATTCCTTGAACTGTGTATAGAAACACTAGGTTGTAAAACGTGCGGTGCTGTTGATTGTTGGGTGAATGATCGAGCTTTAAATAAATGCCGTCACGTAGACGCGTCCCGTTAGTTCCAGTCAAGGCCATCTGATTCAAACATTTGAAAATAATAATCTAGTTTGCGCTCGTTTCTGTTCTAGAGCCGTACAAGCATAGACAAAAAACATGGTATAAGTAACAAAACTTTAAACATCAAACATGAAATTCTATCCGTTTCGAAAGTAGTGTTTACAACGCTGTTTACATTACAATCAGACCTGTTAGAAACTTATGACTACCAAAACTTTTGAAAACAAAAGTACAGTTACATGTAGTTCTTACGTTGTTACGTGTAATCAATATGGGTCATTAAAGCGAAATGCTGTATAGTTTGGACTTTATCACAAAGCACAGTATGTAAAAGAATGACAACTTACTTCAAGAAGCAGTTACTATTGCCATTGCACATATAAGAAAACGTGGTACGAAGCCTATACAGTGACAATTTCATACTTTGCAATGCGAGTTAATATTTCATTGATCACTTCATATCAATATCACGAGGGTCAAAGACCCATGACTGCTAGTAGGAGAGAGGAGAGAGAGTGACACAATTGTGCAACGAAATTCACCTCGGTTCAACTTCATTCCGTGTACATGTTTGCTCCAAAGAACGAAATGAACGAAACAGAAGACACGGATGACCTTGCAGGTCCCCTCTGTCCTCCCCACTCCCCCCTGCCCCTTAAAAAAAACTTATGTGCCTTGCGTACGTTATTATTTGCGACAAAGATGTTTCAGCTGCTTTTGTTGACACAAAATAAAAAAATACACTTGATCTTTGGCTTGCAGCACATGTTATGTGCATTACAAATCTCCAGGGGGTGGGCTTTTTATTGATTAGAAATGCATTTGACAAACGACCCACGAGTGGTAATTTTCTCGTTCTCTTCAGCATTCAGAAATATCATTATAAACAAAATTTTGTCACTATTTCTCCTCCAATAATGTTACTTAATTAATGCAACGAGAAAGAGAGAGAGAGAGAGAGGAGAGAGGGGGGGGGGGAGGTTCATGAGCATGTGATCATTACCTCCGCCAAGGAGGTAATGTTTTCACCCCTGTTTGCTTGTTTGTCTGTCTGTCTGTCATCAACATAAATCAATCAATTTTGATGAAATTTTCAGGAACTGTCAGAAGTGGGCCAAGGAACAGATGATTAGTTTTTAACGTTACTGCTGCAGCGTTTACGCCGTAGGATTAGATATACATGTAGGGTCTCGAGGATAGGACCTGAAACATTGCATATCAATGTACACCATTATTATACCAGGTTTCTATCTTCTATCTTCAGTTAACGTACTTATATTTGTTATGCTTTTTTTCATATGCTCTATCATCTTCATTTATTTCATCTTTGTCTTTTTTTTAGTTACTACGTGCAATTGTAATGCGACTTCAGGATAGGATCGCCTCTATGGAGCCCACAATAACAGAAATAGACTATTTAAAAGACAGGGTCAGAGATTTGGAAAGGAGTGTATCCTCGCAAAATGCCACGATTGAAGGACTGAGACTTTCCGTGAATAGTCAAAATGAAACTCTTCAAATTCCAGGTGCGCAATACCACTTTTAATTGTTTAGAACCATCTCTCTCAAAATCGATGGATTTGCTCAAGGAATTACTCCCTTGATTGGCCTATGATCAACTTTTAAAGGTAGTCTCTTCGGGTTTGAAAATCCCATCAAATTCTGCAAAGCCTCTTTTATTTTCATATTCAGATCTTAAAAACGAAAAAGACCCTTTACATAAAAATTAACTGAAGCGCATTTAGTGTTTATAATCTTCGCAGCCTTTTCAGGTAGCCCTGACAACTTGCAACATCTATAATAATATTATACACGAAAACGAGACTATGCCCACAAAAAAATGGGGCAAGGAGATGTCGTTCTAAACGGCTTTCCAGTCTTTAAGAACTAAATTATATAATTAAAAAATTAAATAAGAAATCGAATCCAAATGCAGGGACGGGTCGAGCAATAATTCGCGAGAATGGAAAATCGCCTTATTCTCGAGGAAAATTTATTTTGGCGGGTAAACCCCGTGGAGAGTGCCTTTAACAAATAAAAAATGACGTAAAAGGTAAAACTAGTTACGAATTCATTTTTTAGGTTACACTTATGAAAACATTGCTAAACCTTGTGAATGGAATAATAAAAATTCACAAGACAACTTCAACCCAATTAAAAAGCATACTGTAACATAAACATGAGTTTGAAACACTGCGTAAAATACAGTGATGAATATTTTACATTCAGGTCGTTTTACGTGCTTTAGCTGTCGAAGTTCATGTTACATTATAGTTGATACTTTGGGGCACATGTCGACACAGGTCGACGGCATATTGAAAAATAAACTGCACCATGGCCCAGAGGAAGCGGCGCGTGCGTCTTTTACCAGGCTCCAAAAATGCGAGATCTTCACACCCCATGCCAATGTCGTATTTTACTTGGTCTCAATTAAAATGCTTAATCGACACGGACCGCGGCGATTGCGTTTTGTTTCTATTGATATTTGGTACTTAAAATGATCATCTCTTGAAATACAAAATTGACATGGCGCTATATCGAATGAACAAATCTCTATAAATGTATTATTGTTACCGACTGAATGCGCTATGTTCTATAAAGAATGTCCGATCTACACAAAATATATACGTTTCAGGTCCATCAGGTCCTAAAGGGGAACCAGGTGCACCCGGACTGTCAGGACTCAATGGCCTGAAGGGTAAACCCGGCGAACCAGGTCCAAAGGGCGTGGCTGGGCTCCCTGGTTTAGATGGTTTGAAAGGCGATAAGGGGGGCGCTGGACCGAGAGGCGTGGCTGGGATAAAGGGAGAACAAGGTTTATCTGGGCGGTCAGCACAGCAGGGAATAAGAGGTCCCCCTGGACGGCCAGGGGCTAAGGGGGAGAAAGGTTCCCCTGGAGCGCAGGGACCAAAAGGAGAGATGGGTTTACCTGGGTTCACTGGGCTGAAAGGATCTAAAGGCGACTCTGATATTCGTCTTGTTAAGGGAGAAAAAGGTTCCCAAGGAGTGCAGGGCCCCAAAGGAGAGATGGGTTTGCCAGGGCCAGCGGGACAGAAAGGATCCAAAGGCGACTCTAAAAATCGTCTTTTAAAGGGCGAAAAGGGTTCTCAAGGGGCGCAGGGGCCTAAAGGAGACACGGGCTTGCCTGGGTCAAGGGGACAAAAGGGACCCAAGGGTGACTGTAGCGCCCTGCTGCATGGCGGATCAAATATCACCGCAAACGAAAACGGCGGGAATATATTCGAATTGAAAGACTTAAACCACGAGCAGCACGCCAGTGTGAAGAGTGAGTTTATTCTTCAGCTGATTGTAAAATGCCTTGATTAAACATAAACGTGTGTTCTGTTCATCTATTACATTTCCATTCTTTATCGTTTTTTGTACGACTTTAAAGAGATAAAAACTGTTCGTTTTGGCAAAAAAAAAAAAAAAAAAAAAAAAAAAAAAAAAAAA